ACCCTTTTATTTAATGATGTTTACTTTGAATTTATATTAGTTCACACAAACACACCATCCATGCTTTTGTTCCGGCCCTCCGGTCCAGTTTAAGAACCCATTGTGGCCCTCGAGTCAAAAAGTTTGCCCATGCCTGCTCTAGACTCTGACCTAAATGGTACAGGATGCAGACTGGGCAAAGGATTCTTCAAAGTTCCCAGAATATTTCAATGTGTGGAAGGCTAATAACCATAGGTCCAAGTCACTGCTTTTCAAATTGCAATGTGCACAGGAATCACCTAGGGATCTCATTCAAATGCTAATTGTGATTCAGTGGGATTGGGGTGTGGCCTGAGAGTCTGCATTTCTAGCAAGATCCCAGGTACTATTGATGCTGTTGGTCCCATGGGCCACTCTTTGAAGAGCACTGTCTAAGGCAGTGGTCGGCAAACTGTGGCTCGCGAGCCACATGCGGCTCTTTGGCCCCTTGAGTGTGGCTCTTCCACAAAATACCACGTGCGGGCGTGCACGTACAGTGCGATTGAAACTTCGTGGCCCATGCACAGAAGTCGGTATTTTGTGGGAGAGCCATAATCAAGGGGCCAAAGAACCGCCTGTGGCTCACAAGCCGCAGTTTGCCGAGCTGCAGTTTGCTGACCACTGGTCTAGGGTATCCTATGCACTTGAACAGGCTTCCCTGAAATCTGATGGCTATAGATATCAATCTATTTAATAATTTAATAAATATTATATGAGGATCTTTCAAATTGGGATGCTCAGTATGAGCACTATTTCCTCCAAAAAATATTAGTGTTTTTTATATGCCTAGGGAAAAAGCACACAATACAGTATATAAAAATAGCAATAGTTTTTAACCTTGAGTTTGTGGGGAAGCAGGGGACTTGGTTGGAAAATCTGTAAGGAGAAAACTGTGAAAGGTCAGGACCTCCAGGGGGAGTTGACTGAAGACAACCACCCTGCCTTGACTTTTCCAAATAAGTCTGAGCCCCCGGGTGTTTACTGGAATCTTTATGTTTAGTCTTTAGACGTCTTTGCCTAAAGGACACTGCATATGTCTTCTCAAGGATGCTTACCCTACTGATAGTAACTAATAGTTAATATTAGTTCAAGCTGTTGATACAATAAAAGCCTAAGGAGACAGGTGAAAGGGGCTATCTGGTTTCTCTAGCCAGACAGTCCCTTAGCCCTCTCTTTTACAGAACCATGTGTCAGAGTAATCATTCATCCGTCGCTCAGGGTCTGCTGGTCAGCCCCAGCATGAGTGGTGGGATTAAAACTATTATTTTCTTTTTGCTTATTTCTGCAATTTTTTTTGCAAATAACTTGTATAATCTGATTTAATAGTTAGAAAGAGGAAAAACAGAAAAAATAGGATTCAAGTAGAGCTTTTTATCATTATCTTGCATTTCAGAGAGAGAAACTAGACTAACCATTGTCATTGTAGTTTGACTTAAACCTGCTGCAAACTGAAACAACTTCTTCACATTTCCTATGCAGGCATACCCATTTCCTTTCCACTCCCTATTCCCCTCCCTTATACATGCACACACTTTTTGATCATAAACAGTTGAGACAAAAATGCCATTCTGTGACTTGAGATGTTACTCAATATTTAAAAAAATATTTTTCTATATAATATTTATATAACTTTTTGAGAACAAAAAATCATATAACCTCTACTGAATTTCAGCCATATAATATTTCCTAAAAGATTTAAGATTTATATATATATGATATCAATTGATTAATCTACTCCAGAAGATATGTTTGAAATGACGTGAACAAAGATTTAAGTACCTCAAGTTCCAGTCACAGCTCTGCCACCAAATTAATTTATGACACTGGGCAGGTCACTTCACCTCTCCTAGCCCCATGTACTCATTGAGCAAGATGAATAAATCTTACTCATATTGATGTAGTCCAGCCTAGTTAAGCTAGATCACCTGAAAGGTTGCTTAGACTAGATTGGTTAAGAGGCCCCTTCCAGTGTGAAAATTTGATGACTCCACCAGGATTGTTAAGAGAAAAAATATTTAAAAGCTTTTCACATTGATTGATTTGTAATTATTGTATCTAAATACACTGCCTTTTGGCAGAGGAACCATATGGGTCTTTGTTGCTAAATACACTTGACTCTTCCCATAAAATGAGTTAATGTAAAATTCCATGAAAAATGTGAATATTTAATTATTTAACATATGTGCCAACATCACTTTAGGAAGATGTCAATATTGGTCAGTATTGACCAATATTGTCACCAAACACCAACAGATCTAAGCTTTCTAATTTATAATTATCTGGGGGAAAAACACAAAATGCAAATAAATTCAATAATTAACTATTCCAGAGTTAGTCATCTTGTGCTCTATTCCAACATAATCAATGATCTCAACTATAGTTTTTGACCCTTTTATTGATTTGATGTCCTTCAGCAAAAGTCCGAGGTCAATTTTTTAAATTACAAAACTGCTTTGTAAAGACATTGTTGTCTCATTGTTATTCTGTATCTCCTGTATCATTTTTGTGACTCTAAGTGCCATTTGACTTACTTTTGCACGTTGCTACCTCTCCACTCCACTGTCTGTTCTCCTGACAGAAACGTTCAAGGTTCCCCTGTGAATCAATGAAAAAAAGTCATCAACATGGTCATAACTGTACAATGGAAAGATAATAAGGGAATGCAAAGTAATCATAGCTGTGAACTTGACTATCTCGGTATTGAAATGCGTAATAAATTCATTAAGTAGACCTAGTTTAAGAGGTAGATTTAGAGCTGTTAAAATGTTTTCATCAAATTACTTCGAAATTCATATCCTGGCTGACTAGTGTAATTAAGGTGCAAGCTTTGTTTCACTTTCTATTTAAATGACGACTAGTTATAACCAATAGTAAAGACTGAAGAATGTGTTTGAAGTGTCAAGGAGGTATATTTGCTTAGTATATTTTAAAATTATTTTGAAAATACTTGAGTGGTACAGCAAAGAATGAAATTGTGTGTTGTTGTTGTTTTTTTTTTGTAGCTTTGAACATGACACATGCCAAGATATCTTATTGGTACAAGGATTGAATTTTTCAACAATTTATCCTATATATATTTACCCTAATAAGGGCACAAGCATTTAAAATTTTAAATATTTTCGCCTTAGCTGGTTTGCTCAGTGGATAGAGTGTCGGCCTGCAGACTAAAGGGTCCCGGGTTCAATTCCAGTCAAGGGCATGTACCTTGGTTGCAGGCTCCTCCCCAGCCCAGGCCCTGGTCAGGGATCATGCAGGAGGCAACCAATCGATATATTTCTCTCACGTTTCCCTCTCTCTTCCACTCTTCCTAAAAATCAATGGAAAAATATCCTTGGGTGAGGATTAACAAAAAATAAAAAATAAAAATTTTTTAAATACTTTGGGTAAAAGCTTTCCAAAATTTACTTTCCTGCCTTGTGAAATAGAGTAAAATGAATATAATTTACTTGAAAAATTATTTATAATTATTTTATTAAATATACTTTTTGTATATTTTTCAATATCCTATTACCCTTAGGGAGTATACAGACTGTTTGCCCCCTATAGCTATTATAGGCTTATATATCATTATTCTTGATTTCCGTTACAATTTTTATTAGTCTTTGCTTCTTCTTTCTTGTTTATCTTTTACTAGAGGCCCAGTGCATGAAATTTCTGAACTCAGGGGCCAAGGGTCCCTCAGCCCTCCTGCGCCCTCTCACAGTCTGGGAGAGGCTCCTGCCATAACAGCTGCGCTCACCAGTCATGAGCTCCTGCATTGAGCGTCTGCCCCCTGGTGGTCAGTGTGTGTCATAGTGACCGGTCTTTCCACTGTTCGGTTGATTTGCATATTAGCCTTTTATTATATAGGACTAGAGGCCCAGTGCACGAAATTCGTGCACTGGGTGGGAGTGGGGGGGCAGGTCCTTCAGCCTGGCCTGCACCCTCTCACAGTCCAGGACCCCTCGCTCCTTACCACCCGCCTGCTCACTGCTCCTTACTACTCAGCTCGCTGCTCCTTAGCGCTGCCGCTGCCACAGAGGCAGAAGAGGCTCCTGCCACTGCCGATTCACTTACCAGCCATGAGCCCAGCTTCTGGCTGAGTGGCACTCCCCCTGTGGGAGAGCACTGACCACCAGGGGGCAGCTCCTGCATTGAGCATCTGCCCCCTGGTTGTCAGTGCATGTCACAGTGACCAGTCATTCTGCCAGTCGTTCCACCCTTCGGTCGATTTGCATATTAGGCTTTTATTATATCGGATGGTAATCATCAACGTTTCTAATGATAATTCTTTTCATGCTTTAAATTCCTAATCTCTGGAATAATAAACAAGATACAGTAAATAAAATTCTGAAACATTATGAGTTAAAAAAAAGATCAGGTTCTAAGTAATGTATTAAGGGGTTTGACTCTAAGTCGAATATATGAACTTTAGCATATGAATTCTGTCCATGCTTTTTCATTGCTCATAGTCCTTTGGACATCTCATTGTCTTAAAATTGTGTCCTACATTAGCAAGATGTCTGAAAAGAACCTATCACCTCTACTTTGGTTTTTATCTGGATTCACTGATACCTTTCACCCTTATTTATCTATTCAAAATATTTTCTCTAAGCTTTCAGATTAATTACTGATAAATCTTTACCTGTTAAAATTCCATTGATTTTGATGTAATGACACTATCCTGATTTTCCAAGAAAATAATTCATTCTATAAAATTAAATGTTTCCTAAATGATGTATTCATTATTTTCTTCTTATTGAAAAACCAATACGTGTTCATTATAGAAGGTTTGGAACATACAAGAAAAATAGGTTTTCCAGGATTCTTCATCCAGAGATAAACACCATTAATATTTGCTATACTTTTTCTAGGCTTAGTACTTATGTATGCACAGGGAAATATACTATTCTAGCTTGTGAATTATTTTTTTAAATTAATTTTGAGGCAGTATATGCCAAGCCATAAAAGCCAGTTAACTCCCCACTGATGTGGGCTCTTCCAGAGTAGACTATACTCAAGTAGTTAATTTTAATTAATAGTTTAGTATTTTTCTCAGTAATATTTTTCCTTGTTCTCTTTCTTCTAATGATTTGAATAATAATATTCTGTTTTGACTATGATGATTTTTATGCCAGTAAAAACTCAAATCTATTTTCTGTAACTATTGATGTAAAAAAATCAAACACCATCTGTTGATTCCCTCCTCAGTAAGCTGCAAATTTTATCACACTGTTCCTTCTTTCCTTTTCTCTCTCTGTTTCTGTTCATATCTTGCTTTTGATGAATGTAGCTGGAATTTTAGATCTAGATGAGCATTAAATTTTTTTAATGTACCTGCTTAATCAACAATTAGGTTAGTTATATTAAGTTTTATAATCAAAGCAACCACTTTATTGCTCACTAGCAATGGTTTTATAACATGACTACCCCATTTTTGAGTTGTGTATTTTCATTTATTATCCAGTATTTCAAGAAGATTGGATGCATAATAAAATTTTTGAGTTTTAGATAGTTCCAAAGAGTTGTGTACCTTACATATAAATGACAACTTATTTACATAGTCAAATAATTTAACATCAGTTGTCCCAATTGCTTTGTCTGATTTTGGTAATAACACAAATACAGGAAGTAATAATAATAAGTACCCTATAACGAACTCAGACAATGCACAAAGGGCCATGCTCACCACTTTATTTCTTTTATCTCCAGCCCTTGCAGTAACTTTGCAAAAGTGGTTATTGCATTTCTACCATAGACAGGATGAAATAGAGGCTCAGAGAGGTTCAGCTGGTTCCCAGCATTTTCATCCAGCAAGAGTGAAGACCTGTAACAGAGGTCTTCCAGGACCAAGTCCCTATTTTTTTTTTATTGATTTCAGAGAAGAAGGGAGAGGGAGAGAAAGATAGAAACATCAATAATGACAGAGAATCATTGACTGGCTGCCTCCTGCACACCCCACACTGGGGATTAAACCCACAACTTAGGCACATGCCCTGACTAGGAATCGAACTGTGACTTCCTGGTTCATAGGTCGACGCTCAACCATGGAGCCACTGCGGCTGGGCCAAGTCCCTATTCTTAACCACTTTCCCTTCTACTGGCCTTTGGTATATAGGTTACTTGTTAAAATTACAAATCCCACTCGGCCAGCGTGGCTCAATGGTTGAGGGTCGACCTAGGATCCAGGAGGTTACAGTTCGATTCCCAGGTTGTGGGCTCGATCCTCAGTGTGGGGTGTGCAGGAGCAGCCAATCAATGATTCTCTCTCATCATTGATGTTTCTCGCTCTCTCCCGTCCTCTCTAAAATAAAATATATATATATATATTAAAAAAAATCCCCAGGTCCTATTTGGTTTAGAAGGCCTTGTCCTATGAATATCCACTCCTTTTTATAACTTCCCAGATGATTCTCAACTAAGTGGCTCTTGAACCACACCTTAAGAAACATAATGGCGTGTCTATACAACCATGAGGCACATAATGTCTGGCTGCCTCTATTTTTTTTTCCTAATATGAACAGCTTTGATGATAATGGCCTAAATCCATTAATTGGCATGAGTTGCAAATTCTGGGCTTTATATTCTATAATTTGTTACCTGGAATACTTATCTAAAGGGGAACTTCCCCTTCATCTACAATTTGGTGATTTAACAGTCTGAGTAGCATGGAAAAACATTCTTCCCTTTTTGTTGTCTGTTTTCAAAATAATGAGTGTGTTCATTACCAATACATTTTTTTTAGCATTATCGTAGGTCTAGTATTAGTCACGACACATTTGATGTGTTTCAGTCCATTGAAGTTACTGCCCTATTGATGCTAAAATGGTGTCCTTTTTGCCTGTGGGAGCCTTGTTCAGGTGGCTCCTCAGTTTCTGTAAACTGAGCCACTGTGGCCGGGCCAAGTCCCTTGTTAAAAATACAAAAATACCTTTGATAGGTTCTTTCTTGTCTCATGTGACAAGATTTTCTAAGCGAATCCTTTACACTTCTTGTCCCAGACCTGGAATCAGTTATTTCTGCAAGTACCTGGATATTAATGTATTTTTAAAAAAGTTTCTCAGGTAATTCTAACATGTAACGTGGAGTGAGAACAATTGCTACAGCACCTCTCTCAATTTTGCAGTTAACACCAGGACATTCCCCCAAATTACCTACTTCCTCAAATTTAATGACCCACTAGTTTTCTACATATTTGTTTAAATCTTATACTACTTTTTTTCCTTAACAAATTGCAAAATGAATACTCTCCATGAAGAACAACTGGGTTTCAAAAACAACTTTCCAATTGCAACCAACTATTATATTATTATTATCTTTTCTTTCTTATAATTTTCCAATCTTTTGAAGAATTTGAACAAGATCCATATAAGCTCAGTTCCAGTGTTCATGGACCTATCTTATGACAATTCTTTGATTGTGTGGTCAGAAAATGGAATGCACTATACAAATTTAACAGACCACTGGCAATGAATAGTTCTGCAAAACCTACATTTAAATACCACGACAACAGTAAGAACAGGGAGGAAGAGTTTCCTGAGAAACCAGATGACACATTCTGTAATGTAAGACAGATTTTTTAAATTTCCAAGTTTGATGATATCGCCATGCTTTCATCAAAACTGATTGCAGCCTTCCCACCAAAGAAATTAGGGAGACGGAGGTGCTGCTGATGGGGTTTTAATATTACAAACCAGGAGTGGTCATGAGACCTAACCTGGTCCTTGGTTAGAACTGCTGTGAGGATTTTTCAGGCCAGATCTGCCATGTGGAAACCTGGCATCTCAATCAAGAACCTGTCTAGGTGTTTGAGCCCACTGCCCGAGGAAACCCTAGCTTTGCATACCTAAATCCCTATGGTCACCTCCCCAGGGTGACAGATGGACTGCCTGTTGCAGAGTCTGACCAACAGACGGCTGGCAGAATATGACCAACAGACGGCTGAAACGCAGGCTTAGTGTCAGTCTTATGGTTGGCATACTAACTTCTCCCTTTACATGGCTTTGATTTTTTTTTAAAATTCAAGACTTACTTTGCTTTTTAGAATTGTAAGTAACCTTAAGTATTCCTTGTAAAGTATTAGTGTAAAAGGCAACAAAGTATAAAGGAATATTTTAGGACCAAAATCAGTGAAACAAATCAGTGCTAATACTAAACATGTTCCCAAGTAGACTGGAAAAACAAATGAATTCTGGTTAGATGGTTTCTTTGCTCACCTCTAATTCATAGCCGGGCTCACACTGATAAATCACTGTGCTTCCAAGGCTGTATATACTGCCAATCACAAACCCATATTCTGGACTTTCAGGTTTCCCGCAAGAAACTGGACTGCACGATTCATCAGAAAATGGTGGCTCCCAGGTGCCATCAAGCTAAGTAACAAATAACAAGTTGTGAGTTATATTTAGGAGTTACATTGTATGAATGAGGAAATATGTCAATATTGATTGCATAGCAGGATGATCTCCAAAATGATAGTCAAAAGGACCTAGAATTTGGTCCTACTTCTACTACTTACTGTCTGTGGCTGTAATAAATACATTAATTATTATATAGTTTTTATAGTCATTACTAAACAATTTTGCACATTTCTTAAGCATATAAAATAAGCATTTTCTTCCTAATAAAATCCATTAAAAAACCAGTAGCAGCAAGGAGTATGTTTTCATTATGATGCATAAGGGCTGGGTGATTGATACAAACATTCTGTGATGTACCAATGCACCCTTGTATTTCACAAAATTCTACATTGTATTTTAAAGTTTATGAGAAACAGCAAATTTTAGGCATACCACTCAAAGTTTAAGAAGATGGCTTCCATTTCTCCATTCCAACTTGAATACTTGAAAACATTCTATTATATATTTTGGAGTCACATAGTTGAAAAAGTATATGTATATCCACATACACCCATATGCTTTATTTCCCGACCATCATGGTTAGAATGAACATTTCTCAGCCCTCTATTTAGGTAAAGTGAAGTAGGCACAGATATTTCCTTAGACTGTTATTCTCTTGCTAATAGTTTTGTCTTCTTTGAGGAAATAGTTCATGAGTTGGATAACTGTCTAAAACAGGATTTGAGGCAAAGCCTTTTATTCTACATATCAGCAAGAAGTAATTATGTATACATATATGCCTGCATCGTAATCAACCATTCCCCTAATGTTGGAAATATAAATTGTATCTAATTTTATACTATATATAGTGCTTCAATATTTCTGAATTAATCATTCTAGGTATTTTTTAGTAACTTTTAAAATGAGATAATATTGTTTTCTTTTGCTATATCTGGAATTTATTTTGGTACATTTTAATTTTCTCCCTAACGGTAAGTTAATTGTATCAGAATAATTTGTTTACTAATTATTCCTTTCTCTACTGCCTTGTGATGATCTACTTTTGACTCATTTCTTCTCTTCTGTTCGTTTTTCCTTTTACCTAGATTTACACCAATACCACACTGATAGGAGTTTTGTAATTCTGTAATTTGTCTTAATTTCAGGAGGAGCTAGTCCTGTTTAGTATTCATTTTTCAGAATTCATATTGATCTTTTCATGCATTTGTTTTATGAACCATAGGACCATTTTGTTATATTACAATAAAATATTTTAGGCATCAAACATAGTTTTATACAATGTATACATTTAAACATTCAGAAAGGGTCTATTCAGACCAAAAACTAAACCAAAACTCAGCTGATTGAAGGTTAGGGGTCATGCGATGTGTGGAGAAAGTAAATGAATTACTGACTTGGAAAAACGAGCACAGACACCTGTAAGGCAGGGTCCTTCGGGCACGTGAGAGGCCATCTCCTCGTGCACACACTCTCAATGGGAGGACACTGAGTGATTCCTGTAAGTGTGCTGAGGCTTTGCTTGGTTCAGAAAGCTCAGGGTCTTTGAAAAAGTTTCCCCTCAAACTGCTTCATCTCTAAATCTAAGAGGGAACATCTGGAACTCTACCAATTTTGAGAGCATGGCCACTTTGATGTTCCTATTCCCGGCAATGTTTGCTTTTAGGCTTGGCAGCAACCAAGCATTGAATATGCATGATTTACAAATGGGAAACTGGAAGGAGAAGGAAATAGTTCCCAAGTCCCTCCGATATGGCAGACATATACTAGACACTTTATTACATTAAATAATGCAATCCTTTCAATGGCAGATATATGTAAAAAAGAAAACAAGGTCACAGAGCCTAAAAATATTTGAGATGAAGTTCAAAGGCATGTTTAATGGAAAAGCCACTCTATACCATGCAGCATTCCTCCTCCCCCTACCCCAAACTCCAGCAAAGGAAGATCATATCAATGATTTATTTTTCTTTCTTTGGTACAACTTCAGGAAGCCAGGAGAAGGGAATGCCCTAGGGCAGTGGTCGGCAAACTGCTGCTCGGCAAACCGCGGCTCTTTGGCCCCTTGAGTGTGGCTCTTCCACAAAATACCGACTTCTGCGCATGGGCCACGGTTTCAATCGCACTGTACCTGCGCGCCCGCACGTGGTATTTTGTGGAAGAGCCACACTCAAGGGGCCAAAGAGCCGCATGTGGCTCACGAGCCACGGTTTGCCGACCATTGCCCTAGGGAGTTGGCTGCCTTCAGTGCTGAGCTAGGCACTTTCCCTCGTTATCTATATAGCTTTTCATACTGATCATATAAGATATGCATTACTATATATTTTTCTTTCTTTGTTTTTTAATGCTCACCTGAGGATATTTTTCCATTGATTTTTAGAGAGTGGAAGAGAGGGAAAGATAGAAATATAGATGTGGGAGAAACACATCAACTGGTTGCCTCCTGCATACACCCCGACCAGAGCCTGAGCCAGGGAGGAGCCTGCAACCGAGGTATGTGCCCTTGACCGGAATTGAACCTGGGACACTTCAGTTCGCAGGCCGATGCTCTATCCACTGAGCCAAACCAGCTAGGGCTCTATACATTTTTCTAATAAAGAAACTAAAGCCCAGAAATTTTAAGTAACTTTCTTAAAGTCACACATCTCAAAAGTAGCAGAATCAGAATCTGACTCTAATTTCTGTCTGTTTCTACAGCCTCTGATCTTTCTACTAGAACTGGAAACCTATTTGGAATCATCAGGGCTCATTTCTATATATAGACTCTTTTGAACATCTATGTGTAGACTATATAACCATATGGCTAATTTTTCGTGAATATCTTGTTATAGATATTTTAATATTTTATTGAACTTTGCCTCTTTTTATTGAACCCTGCCTTGGTATTTTCGTTAGTTTAAAAACAGGAATATTGGAAAGATGTATTTTATTATATTTCTATCAAAAGATTTCTCAAATCCTTTGACATGATTGGAAACATGAGGCATCTTTTTTTTTTCTTTTTAGGACAGTAAGATACTGCTTGTGTGAATATATATCAATGAGTTACACTTACACGTTCTAATTAAGACAGACGATCTTACCCGACATGTCGATATGTTAACTCCCTCATAGGTGTAGCCTTCTGCACATGACACAGAAACTTGCTGATTCACACTGAAATCATCCCCATGAACAAGTACACGTGTGATGTTTGCTGGCAGAGAACATTTTTTGGGACTACAGGAGATTCTCTCAGGGGACCAACGGCCATCTTTCTGACAGGTGAATGTATCTATGTCTGTATCCATCACATAACCTTCCAGACATCTGCAACAGATAGGCAAAAATAAATGCCTTAACGAGAGGACAGTGCCCTTGGTGAACTGTTCTTGACGCTGTTAAGACGCTGTTATACGGCTCAGTAGGTATTTTGTATGCTATACCAAGACTGATGCAAGCCTCAGGTGGAGGCATTGCCATGCAAAAACACCAAGATGATAACCAGATAAACCCTTTGTTATCCACATTAAGGATTAGCCAAGATTAAAGTTGCTTGAAATGTTGTTATTATTGACCTTCATTGTAGATGATATCACTACTGAATTCATGTTTATTCTAAAACAGCTAATAGTTAAAGAAATTCTAGACAAAGTCCAAAGTAGACTCAACTACTAGTAAGAATATAACATAATTAATATTTATTGGGTATTTACTTTGTGCCCAGCACTGTCTTAGGTCCTTTACATAGGATACTTCGTTTAATCCTGATTATTAGATACTATAATGTCACAGTAATATGGCTGTTCAAATTCAAATCAACCTGACTCTAAAACTCTATGATTTAAAAATTTTGCATTTATTTATTCAGCATAAATAATATTTACTTATTAAATTCCAGTCACTGTTCTAAGTGCTCTACAAATATTAACTCATTTAATACTCAAGTCATCCCTATGAGTAGGTACTGCCATTCTCTGTATTCTCATTTTGTAGATGATGAAACTGACACAAGCAAGCTGAGATTTCTACCTAGAGAATCTGGCTCTAGAATTAAACCATTTAATTAGCTAACATTTATTAGGTGGATATGCTTTTTTTTTAAAATTTCACAAATTATAGGCCAAGCAGGAGTCAAACTTGGAGCAATCCATATCTCTACTAAGTGATTTTGACCAATACTTTTCATGAGATTTCTACCTAGAGAATCTGGCTCTAGAATTAAATCATTTAATTAGTTAACATTTATTAGGTGGATATACTTTTTTAAAAAATTTCACAAATTACAGGCCAAGTAGGAGTCAAACTTGGAGCAATCCATATCTCTATTAAGTGATTTTGACCAATCACTTTTCATTTTACAACTCTTTTGCCCTCATCCATTGGAAACTTTGAGTCGTGGTCTTACCTGAGCTTCACTTTACTTTCATAGGTGTGCGCCTCTCCAATTGCCACTGCATTGGCAACAGACGGTGGGGGTCCACAGGACAGGGGCTGACAAACTGGATAAGGCTGGCTCCACATCCCTTTCTCGGTGCAAATCAGATCTGAACTGCCCTGGATGACATACCCAGGTCTGCAGCTGTAAGTTATCACATTTTCTTCCAAAGAGTCACTCTCACTGATGAATGCATTTGGTATTGTTGGTAGAGAACCACAAGACATGTGTTCACAGCGGGGGAAGTCAGCGCTCCACTGGCCATTGGCTTCACAGGTGATTTCAGAAGGTCCCAGGAGCTTGAAGCCTTTAAAGCACTGAAGCTGAGCTGTCTTTCCACAACCCAAATCTGTTCTGTTGACAGTTCCACCTTGAATGACTGGTGTGAAACACCTGCAAGGCTGGCAGGAAGGTGGGCTGCCACTCCAGGAGCCATTGGAGAGACACCTTCTTGAAGGACTTCCATGGAGCTTATAACCGGAAAGGCACTGATACTGTATATGCCCCCCATGATAAAAGGAAAAGCCATTAGGGAAGCCATGGGAAAGGTCTTCAGGAGGTCCACAGTTAACTGGTTTACAGAGAGGAAACTCTGCATCCCAGTTCCCATCTGATTGACAGGTGAGTTTTGGAGCACCGTGCAACACGTAGCCCTCCTGACAGCGGAACACCACTTCCTTCCCAAAGCCATACTCCAGGCCATCCATCACCCCATTTGCCACCTGAGGTGGGGTGGCACAGTTGACAGGCACACAGATGGGGGTGGTTCCACTCCAACTTCCATTGGCCAGACAAACACGACTCCTGGCTCCCTCAAGTAAGAACCCGACATTGCAAGTGTATTCAACCTCTTTTTGGAATGTGTACTCATCTCCTCTCACCTGGCCATTGGCTAAGATTGGGGGTGAATGACAGTCCACAGGAATGCAAACTGGCTCATTCCCATCCCAATGTTTATTTTCTTGGCATGTTCTCCTCTCAGTGCCATTCAACACATACCCGGGATCACATTCATAGTACAACACGCTCAGGTATGTGTAGTTGTTTCCTTTGATGGAGCCATTTGTAACTGGACTTGGTTTTTTGCATGCAATGGCCTCACAGTGTGGGGAAGCACCACTCCACTCTTTATTCTGTAGACAAAGCCTTATGTCGGGGCCCACCAGAATGTGCCCGGGTTTGCAGCTATACTGGACAGCACTGCCCATGGTGGTCTCTGTAACATGCAAAAAGCCATTTTCAGGAGCAACAGGCAAGTCACATTCAATTGAAATGCAGGATGGTGCACTGCTGTTCCAAGTTCCATCTTCCTGGCAGATTAGCACAGGGTTCCCCAGAAGTTCATAACCTGGATTACAGGTGTATGAGACCATGGTGCCATGTAGAAAGCTTGTTGAAAATGTAGCAGGAGTTGAGTTTTCCCAGGTTTTAGCCATTGCTTCCAGATAATGATGAGGGTGAGGAGTCAGATATGGAACTTCCATCAGATCTTCCTCTTGGTCAAAATACCCCTGACCATCCTTGAGCTTAGTATAGTCTCCAAAATCAATTTCAGGAGGGAGACCACAGTCTACGGGTACACATGTTGGGATGGAGCTTGACCATCCTGACTCTTCACAGGTATGCATGGCATGACCAGCCATCTGGAATCCAGGGAAGCAGCTGTAGATGATCATGGAACCATAGCTATAATCTGCACCTTCTACAAAGCCATTTTCAATGGGTTGTGGGGGGTCACAGTGGATGGCACTGCAAGATGGGACATCCACATCCCAATCGCCTGTCTCTAAACAGGTCAAGGTCTTGGGACCTTCGAGCCTGAAGCCTGGGTCACAAGAGTATGTAATGGTTTGTCCAGAGTGTAGGTTTGTGTGAGAGAATTGTCCATTCAAAATCTCCTTGGGCTTTGGACACTCAATGGGTTTACATGTTGGTTTGCCTCCAAGCCAGTGACCATTTTCTCCACAAAGGATGGTAGTATCTCCCACCAACTCAAAGCCTGGCCTGCAGGTATAGAGAGCTGTGCTGAGATAGGCAAGACCATGCACATCAATGATGCCATTGAGGATTTCCTCAGGTTGGGGGCATTCCACTGGGACACATTCTGGCAGTGGAGAGCTCCAGGTACCGTCAGCTTGGCAAAGGATGGTAGAATCTCCTCTTAGGGAAAACCCATCCACACACGAATAGTTGACAGTACTTCCAAAATGAAGAGCAGAAGCAGGAGCAGGGACACCAAAGGCAATTAGGGGAGGTGGGAGGCAAAGAACCATCTTACACACAGGAAAAGAATCATTCCATTGCTGGGATGGCAGGCATTTCAGGACAGAGGGGCCCTGGAGGACATGCCCTTCTTTACAGGAGAGCATCACCACTCCCACCTCCGCAGTCGACTCTTTCAGCACCAGCTGGTTTTCCAGGAGGGGTGGATCTGGGCACTTGGTGGGCACACACTTTTGGTTTGGCTTCTTGTTCCATTTGCCAGATTTCTGGCATGTCCAAGAGTTATCTCCAATAAGTTCATAACCCTCATTACAGAAAAACTGAACTTTGGACCCCACTTCAAAATTTTCTCCTTTCATGTAGCCATTCTGGATCGGGGGAGGTTTTCCACAGCTGAGAGGGATGCACGACAGAGGGGATTCACTGTGCCAGTGGCGATTGGCTTGGCAGACAAATACAGGGCTTCCAATTAGCTTATATCCCGGGTTACACCGATATCTCACTTCACTCTCAAAGACCCTGCCAGTGACATGCTGCATGACAGGGAGAAACAATTAAGTACAATTTGTATAACAGATCTTATGATTAACTAAATACATTGAATAGTAAAAACGAACTAAACTAAAATGCCTAATTTAAAATGAATCAATTAAGACAAGCAAATAAGGATTTATGTTTTTTTCTAATAGGTCCAAATGCTATTTTTAAAATAAGTTCAAAGGACAGTAGGAAGTCAAATTAGGTCATCACTACTGCAGAAATGATTATCACAGTGCTGAGCCCATAAGTAAAAGATAGGTACTAAGTGTCTAAATTGATGGATGAATTTTTAAAGTAATACTGAAAATTGTAAGTTACTTGGTAAGTTCAAAAAATCTTGCTGACCAAAGCAACACTATAGTTCGTTGTTTTAGTCACGAAAGAGTGAACACACAATCAAACATACTTTATTTGTTAATTTCATTAGACAATTTAAAAAGCCAATGAAATATTTTTCATGGATATGGTCCTAAAAGTACTGTCAGAGTTTGATACTAATTTTTAATATACTTTTAAAAAAATTGCTGCTAAAACACAAACAAGGGAAATTAAAAAACACTATTGAAGTTTTAAACAGAATACTTAATATTCATGATCTCAAAATTCAAATAAGTAAGTGTATAATAACAGTTCACTTTTAGGCGGGACGAAAGATGAATTAGTTATGAAACCTTTAAAAGATTACTATGGGTCTTTGTTAGTGATAAAGGTGAAGACTAGCTTCCATGCTGTAATTAACTTCTTGGTATTTGGACATAATTACTTGTTCTTTTTACTTATTTATTGCTTGGGCACCCCTCACATGCGTCAGCATCAGGCCATTACAGACCTAACCTGTACTGTTAAATACTATACTTCCAGTGCTTACCTGGCACCAGTAGGAGCTCCAGAAATATTTGCTAAATGAATAAATAAAGAAAGCCTCCTTACATATACTATAATCCTCTTCCAAAGGAAATCTAATACATTTGAGCAAATATCTTAAATAAATGGCTCTTCCTATTGTTTTGTTGCTTTTGAATATAAAGGACAACAGGTACTATGTATGTGTTGGCCTTTAAAAAGTGTTCAATTTAAATATTGTCTATTTAAAATGGCCCTTGTTTTGAGGGAATACATTTTCCTGCTTTCTTGATGGACTTAATGAGAAGACACATACTAGTGTGAAAGCAGAACATGTGTGGGTGTAATGTAACCCTTTGTCCATCACAGTAAAATTACTTTTAAACCCACTAAAACAAGCCTGCAAGAACTGCATCATAGCGAATAGATGGCTTAATCCCATCTTTTGTCTAAAAACTAGAAATGATAATATATTTCTTTAGACTTTAATTTATTTCTATAAAATAAAGTACATATCCATCTTGGAATAACTTCTATAAAGCAAAATGTATTTTATTAAAGTGGGTTTATTCTAACAATAGTTAGGGTTGAGATACTGCTATTAAGTGCTTCAAATGTGTATATACTAGTAGAATGCAGAAAGCTAATACATTAGAAAGATTCATAGCTCTATGATCTATTCTCCAATATTCACTACATACCGATTTAGCTACTTCTGTTTTTCAACAATCTGTTCACTGGCCCTGCTTTTTTAAATAAAGTATATATATATTTATATTTATTCTATATTCTATATTCTTGATTTCAGAGAGGAAAGGAGAGGGAGAGAGAGATAGAAACATCAATGATGAGAGAGAATCATTGATTGGCTGCCTCTTGCATGTCCCACACTGGAGATTGAGCCTGCAACCTGGGCATGTGGCCTGACCAGGAATTGAACTGTGACCTCCTGGTTCATAGGTCGATGCTCAATCACTGAGCCATGCTGGCCCGGCTGGCCCTGCTTTTGAATCCCAGGTTAGTCACACTGGCTGGCCCTGAAAGTGAAGAAAGCCATGGATCACTTGCTAATCAGTCTCTTACCTCCAGAAAGCCATTCTCAATCTTAGGTGGCTCACTGCAAGATACTGGGTGGCATGTAGGTATGGGGTTACTCCACTGTCCTGTGGCTTCGCAGGTGCTCTTCTTCTCCCCTTTGATGTAGAAGCCCCTGTTGCAGCTGTAGGCCACCATGGCCCCAAAACTGTAGTTTGATCCACTTGCATAGCCATTCATGATGCTCGGTGGTTCTCCGCACCGCACGGGGATGCACTGGATGGACATGGGGGAGGGGTTCCACTCCCCGCCTCTCATGCATTCAATCTTTGCTGAGGTGTTCAGTACGAAACCTTCCATGCATTTGAAGCTCACAACGGAGCCTGCTGCAAATTTTGCTTTGCTTATAGATTCCAAGATGCTGTAGGAAACAGATGGGGGTTTTTCACAGAAGTGAGCTATACACTGGGGCATGGCCTGACCTTCTGGGGGAACCCACTTGCCCTGGGCATTGCAGAGCAGCTGGGAATTGTCTGCCAGGCTGTAGCCATCCGCACAGTAGTAGAATGCAATGTCTCCAAATAACCGATGGGCAGTCTCTGGAGAGGCGTTGTCCACGTGGGGGGGCTCGTCACAGGAGACAGCTAGACACTGCTGGTTACTTCCACTCCACTTGCCACTGGCCAGGCATTCAATGGTGTCAGGTCCAGCGAGGGTGTAGCTATGAGATGGGGGGAGTGGAGGGAGGGAAAGAAACAGTAAGGATAATATTTGAGAAAATGTATTTGTGCCTCTTTATTTGGTTTTTTATTATCTTTCCTATAGCAACTCTACTTTTATTCTTTAAAATAATATTTTTTATTCAGCTGATTGATCACATGATTTTTAATTGGGATATAGAAATATATCTTGATTTTAATATTCATGCTCTTTCAGAAAAGGAAGTGGATTGAAGATTATTGCGATTTAAGGAACTCTAAAACTTGTGACACACGTCTTTAAAAATAAAATGAGTAAGCTATACCCGTTTGACTCAGTTCAAAATTGGAACTTCATCTGTCTTTAGATGGTTTTCGTTGGTTGATTTTATCACTAGTCTTTGAAACAATCTCTTATGAGCCATATGTAGCCTACAAATAGCTCATAGTTACACACTTACTTATATTCAATGAACTTTAAAACAGTGATTATAATTTTAGTCTCCTTAACCATGTGGTTAGCATTGAAAGCTGTGTTCTACATATGGCTCTGCTATTCAACCAGAATGAATTATGCTTAATAACTCTCAGTCTTTTTGTACAGGATGGTTACCCATATATGACATACTTGCAAAAATCTTAAATTATTCTCAAGTGCTCTCTCAATGAAGTAGAACAAAATAGTATGGTATGCAGTATTAGAATAATTATATCTGAGTCATTCTTATTTTTATTCACACTCTCTTACTGAATGGAAAGGTATTCAGTCTATCATTTTGATATTAATAAAGGGTGAGGAGACCAAAATAATGGGGTACATAATTCAATCTGTTTAGACATATTAATTTCTTCATTTTATAGATGAATGAATGATTATGTAGACAGGTTAAGAAACCTGCCTAGAGTCACACAGCTACAAGCAGCAGTTAGGATTTGAAGTTAGTTTATTGGATTCCAACACTTATACCTTTTCATGACATTGTTCTGTCTCTTTTCCTCTTTTAAAATGGTTAGACAACTTGTGGGCATCCTTTGGAAACTGTATTGCCTTATTACAACTACAAATTATTTGACCCACCTTTCAGGAAAGATTTTTAAGTCATTAGTTAGCAAACATTCTCCTGAGGTCCCTTTGGGTATTATAAGAAATTAACTACTAGAGAGAGGTTGGAATTCCTTCACCCTAGCAAGCAAGGTTTATGAAATCTATGAGATCAAGGGAAAATGATAGAGCATCAGCAGAGGTGTGTGCATCCACCCTACCTATGATCACATATATTACTGTCTCAAAATGAACACACTCTGACACCCCCAATAGCTGTGCTCTGCCTCCAGTTAGAGTCTGCTGCATTCATTGTTTTGGATAAGCATCGTTCTTTGTATAAGAATCTGAGCCTAATGCATTTTTAGATGGCTTTTGTCTTAGAGGATCTAGGAGATATAAAAAAACAATATGCTAAAAACATAATTTTATTTAAAAAAAACATTATCCAAGGCCTGAGTGCCCAGGTTCTATTACTTCTGTGTAGGATGTGCTCTGGGTAAAAATTCCATTCGTAGAGGCTCCTGATGTTTTATAGCACAATTTATATCCCTTGCACACTTTGAACCATGCATCATTACTGCCATGGGTCCCTTGATGTTGCTAGCATAAGTCATTGGCTAAAATGCACAGACATCACCTGAGACATCCCTGATTTATTAGGATCCATCATGCCATCTATAAAATGCTTCCTTTAGTTAATGGGACCAGCTGTTCTGTGGCAGAAGCATCTGCCTCCAGAACCTTCCTTATTCCTCAAAGCCTCTTGAGGACACAAGAACTGTGCTTTGTAATTTGGCAGGACTCTGTTAGACCTCTGATCCCTCATCTTCTGGAAAATCTCCACCAACCAGTCCTCCCTAGTGGAAAATCACAGCAAAGCTCTTCTGTAATGGAATGGAAAATTACCACTAAATACATAGATTTTGAATGAATGAATTTAAAGGATGCATTTTTGATACTACCCATGACTTCTTAGGTCTTATATTATTTCTTTTTCTGACCTACAATCTTGACTTTTCTTTATGATTCTCAGTCAACATTTAGTCATTAAATAATTTAAGGGCCAAACTATGTGCTAGAGTCACTTACATAATTTAGCAATCATGCTATGTGCTAGAATTACTTCCTTAGTGCACAGATGCAACACCAGTACGCTTACTGTTTACACATCTGTGCCACTCCCCCCCCCCCTTACCTGGTGCATTGTAGGCCCCTTCACACATAAAGTGGCTGCTTAAAGGAGAAGTGATTGATTCTATCCTAAGACTGAAAAGAGGAAGGCCTCACAAATGAAAGGCTTTTGAGTGGAGTCAGAGAGAAGTTAAAAAGGAATCATTCAAGGCAGAAAAGTAACATGAGCAAAGAAATGGGAGTGTGATATAGCTGGGGCATCTGAGAACTTCCAAATAGTTAGAAAAGCATATGAACCCCCAGAAAAGGAAGTGGTGAGCACTAGAAGTGTGTATTTTGACAGATTGTGACAGTTGATGGGCGGAGATGTGGTAGGCACAGATTAACTGGAAGTGGTTTTTGACAAGAATCTTAGATTTTATCAGACAAAATGTCACTAGAACAGAAAGCTATTTAAGTGGTTTATTAACCACATGACCTAAAGAGTATCGATGCATAGAAGTAAGCTAGGTGGGAGTTTCACATGTTGGTGAAAGCCACAAAACTGTCCTTAGCCTAGACGTCCACCAGTTTGTTAGCAACTCATAAATGTCGGGTGGGGAGAAAGAATTGTTTTAGGCCAGTTCAGGGTTTCTAATTCTGCAAGGCAATATTTAACGAAGAGAAGTGCGGATCTGAGATTGAGCTGGCTGACATGTCTGTCTTCCCCAAAGGAATGTCTGTCTCCCAGCGCTGCAAGTTTGGCACCTGAGCCAGAGTGGAGCCTCCTTTTCCAGTCATGGAAATGTGTGGAGGGGCTGGGATCCGTACTGAAGCCTCCTAATGAGCTCCAATGAACGAGCTGTAGGAGAACCTGGGACCAAGCCGGCACTACTTGAATGGTTTGCCTTTCAGAGGAGCAGAGAAATATATGGAATGGCTTCAAGAGTGGAGCTAAAGCCAGTGCTTTAGATGAGATAATATCTTTGTAAAAATAATTTTTTTTTCAGAGAAAGAGGGAGGAAAGAAGAAAAAGAGAGAGAGAGAGAGATTTGTTGCTCCACTTATTTATGCATTCATTGGTTGATTCTTGTATATTCCCTGACCAGGAATGGAACCTACAACCTTGAAATAAGGAGTAAAAGAAAGACACAAAATCTTATTTAAAAAGAAGAGACTATATAACAAGAAATATTTGAAAAATAAACAAATAGAAATTCTAAAACGTATAGAAAATAATTTCTGAAAATTAATGGACACATTCAAAAATAGATTACACATAGTAGAAAGAAACATTAGTGAACTGGAAGAAATATGTGAGGAAATTACCCAAATGCAACAAAAGCTTATAAAGAGATGGAAAATGTGATAGGTCAATAAATATGGAAAATAGAAAGAAAAGGTCCAAAGTATAATCTAATAAGATAAAAAGAAAGAAGAGAGGAAGTAAAGAAGAAGGAATATTTGATGTGAAACTGGATGAGACTATTTTAAAATTGGTGAAAGACATCCATTCTCAGATGTAAGAAGTGCAATGTGTCCTGGACAAGATGAACAAAGATAAACGCACCATTAGTCACATCATAGAGAAACACCAAACCAACAAAGATAAATTAAAAAAAAAATACCTAAAGGGACAACAATTCAACAAGAGTTTCTTCATTCTCAGCGCTATTAACATTTTGGACTAGACAATTCTTTGCTGGGAGTAGGGGGCTGTCCTCTACCTTGTAGGCTATTTGGCAGTATACCTGGACTCTATCCACTAGATGCCAATAGCACCTTTCCTCCAGTTATGACAACCAAAAATGTCTTCTGACATTGCCAGATGTTCCTGGAGGGCAATATTGCCCCCAGTGGAGAACCACTAAATTAGCCTCTGATGGAATTCTCAATAGCAACATTAGAAGTCATAAGGCAATGGAACATCTTCAAAATGTTTGTGGGAAAAATACTATTAATGTAGACTTGTACACCCAGCTAAACTATAATTCAAGAGCAAGGGTAAAACTATTATTTTCTGACAAAGATTGTATAATTCACTATGTCCTGCCCAAAGAAAAATATAAAGGACAATGCTTTAGGAATTAGAAACACAAAGTCCAAAAGGAAGGAATGGGATGCAAAACAAACAAAAAGCAAAGCTCCAATAGTGACGAAGAGATTAATAAACACATGAGTAGATCTAAGTAAGCATTGAGTATATTAAAAATGACTAATTTGGAAAGTTGTAAGAAAGAGGGGAAATAAAATGTAGATAATGATATGACATTTACGATGAGCAGGGTGATAGAAGTTAATGTTTTCCAAGATCTTTGAACTGGTCAGGAAGAAGGAAGAGATGCTGAGGATGATCTCAGGGTAGGAAGAATTTCTTGAATTTGGCACACACTAGAAACAGACTATAAAGAAAACGACTGATAAACGTCAAACACTATCTAGCAATGTTAAAAATGTGCATATCATATGATCCCACAGCTCCAAGTCCTGGTGTTTAGGCCAGAGATATTCTTATTGACATGTGCCAGAAGACATGAGATAGTTCCTACGAAAGTCCTTTGAAAAATTTAAAACCCTCTACCAATGTACAGACTTGTTGTAATGATTTTCATTATTGTCTTTAATTCTCCTTTTAATAAATCCCTTTTGTATAATATATAGATATAACATTAGGCAGATACAGAACTTTTACGAAATGTTATAAGTGAATGATTAGTGACAAAAATACACATAAGATTTGTGAAGGAGAAAAATGTAAATTTTATATACAGTGTGATCTTTAATACTAGGAAACATATGCAAAGACAAAATTCTGGGAAGAAATATAGTAAAATATCACTACATTTATCTTTAGGTAATTTTAAAAAATAACCTTTTATTTTCTAGTTTTATATGGTGACAATGCCTCACTTTTTAAATGAGAACAAAAACAAGACACTGTCAATATTTAGTTATTATTTGGGACATTTATATTTGATAACATTTCACAAAAACGACTAAATTTTATTAGTCTATGTGGTTTATTCTGAAGCAGTTTTTAAATGAGTTTTTAATCTGCCAGAGAGAGATGGAGCCATAAGAAGCTAACTCCTGCACTGGTAGTTTAATATTAAAGCTTTCCTTTTCACTTAAGGTGTTAAGATTTGAGATTTGTCTGCTATTTATGCAATTTGCAACAGAATGTCACCACCTGCTGGCAGGCCTGTAATTGTGGGATGGTCTATCAAGTGAAATGAACTTCAACTTCGATAATTGTACAGAAACTGTACCCTCTCAGTTGTGCTCCAATCATCATAATAATGGCAATTTTTGTTGAGTTTATTAATTTTTTCTTGCTAGGCCAAGCATTATATCATTTTATTCCTTGAATTATCTATAAGAATTATGATCCTTTAATGAACTCATTTGATGTAGGAAATCAAAGCACAGAGAGGTTACACAATTTTCCCAAGGCCACACAGTTAGTGAATGCCAGAGCCTTACAAACCCAGGCAATGGCAACTTCCTGTGGTTCCTGCTTCCCACTGTGTGAAAAGCCACGATGGTAAATCTGGAGTGTGAAAGCACGACTCATGGTGAAAATGTTCATTGAGGAAGCCCGGGGGGGGGGAGGGATGTCGGGTCACCTGGGATTCAATTACCCCCCAATTCTTCCTGGCCTGTCTGAGACACTAAGCAGATCACCCATCCAGAGTGACCTCTCCTTTCTCTGCACCTCACGGGGCTTTTGTGAGGATCATTGGAGACATTGAGGGTAAAAGCTCTTTGTAATCTGCATCCTGTTTTGTTTTTGTTTTTCAAATTCATCTCTGAATTAAAATGAGATCTTTAAAAATGTAACAGCCTGAAACTGAGTATTTTTTTCTTAAAGACATGTCATCTTTCTGTTGTGATTTAAAGTCTTGCCTTTGGTTTGCAGAGGATAAATGCTTATTTAGCTGTGCTTTTTGCATCTTTAATTAAAGTGTAATGATATTTTCCACTGCATTGCCCAATGTCCATTACTCAAAGCCCAGTTTGCTAAATCACTCTAATTCCAAGCAAACATGGTTCCCTCAGGAGAATATGCTCCCTTTCTGCTGTCAGGGAATAAGAGCATAAAGCTCTCCTTGGCTTTGGCTGACAGGAAATGTAATTTAACGTTCAGGGGAGCCCATCTCCAGTCGGGAGCCTCCCTGCCCTCAGCAGCTCCCAATGCTCCTTACTGCACAAGGTTACTCACCCTTCTTTGCAGGTGTAAGTGACGGTGCTCCCCAAAGTGAAGTTACTGCCGGTGATGACAGCATCTCTGATGGCAGGAGGCTCTCCACAGAAGACAAGATGACAGGTAGGTGGCGCTCTGTCCCAGTTGCCGGATGCCGAGCATTCAAGGATGGAAGGGCCCTGTAAGCTACAAGAAAGAATGACAGCGCCTCTTTCATTGCCTGTTTATTTCCTGCTAAGGCATTGAATCAGGAAGGACTTAGAAGAGAACAGGGGACCCCTGAGGAATCTAAATACATAAATATAAAACTTCTTCATATTTTATTGCTTTATATAAAAGGAAGGGAAACCTGAGCACACTGTAGACCCTTAAAAACAATGAGTGGGCTAAAACAACATAACTTGGTGCAAAATAAAATGTGCTCATTGGTGGTGCTGTAGGGCCCTCCAGACCTTGTGAGTAGGTTACCTAGATCAGAAGGGCTTAGCAGGCTGGCTAGGAGACAGACACCCAGGATTACTGAGATGCTCAGGGTCACTGAGGTCAAAGAGCACTATCCTGGCCCTGAGCCTGGGATCTGAACCGTGTTGCTCATGACTCTGACCCCTGGTCTCCCTCAGATTTTGCAAACCTCGCCTCCTGTGGCATGGCTCATCCATCTTTGCTTGCCAAACTGATTCTGATTGCCTGTATTACTCACTCCACGTTCTGTGCACTTGATCTGTTTCACTTCAGATGCTGTTGCCCAAGTTTCTGATCACAGACTGATTCTCTCCATTGTCCCCTCTGTTTGTGCGCCCCTGGACTCCTCTCCCCCCGCCCCCACAACACACACCCTATTATTCAAATTACCTTCTTACAGTATTAAGGACCCAGGCCCTTAACTTGACATGCTTTTTATAACATCCCATGTGATGATGATATAAGCTGGGTAAGTCACTTACCAAAAAATCCAGGCCTTGTCTTACACGTCACAACACTTTTTGCCTTCATGTTTATTGTCTAAATGCTTATAGCAATTGAACTAGAGTTTCCAGATGAAATATTTCCCTGGGCATTCACTGTAAGCTAGGTCTCAGGAATCATACCAATTTGAGAAACTTGTATTGAAAACCAGCCAGTCACATGCAAATGAAACCTACTGAGTAAATGGTGAGTAACGGGTATTGTAGAAAGCTTGGCTGGTGTCGGTGGACTTACCTGTATCCACTCTCGCAGGAATACGATGCAGTAGAAAGGTAGGTAAGCCCGCTCAAAACGTATTTCCCATGGTTTATATTTTCAGGGCTAGAACACTTGATCGGTTCACACACAGGAGGAGAGTGACTCCAAGAACCGCTAGCAAGACAGGATGACTCTTTATCACCCTCCAGAGTATATCCTTTATTACACCTAAAGGAGATAAAGGAAAAGGACAGAATATAATTTGCTTTACTTCCCATAATTTTATCTGTGCCCAAGCTCCCCCAAAATATTGAGAACTTATTCATATTGGAAGAGTTCTTTTTTCCTACTGAATAATGCTTTGAAATTATTATTTTTTATGGTTCAGTACTGTACATCTTCCCCACAGGGATCTTGCTGGGTGATAAGTAGGACTACAGATTTAAGGATTTGGCTTGCCTCCAGTTTGTGTCATGGATTAGCAGCTGCAAACAGAACATTCTTGGTTTGAGAGTGGTCTGGTCTAGTATTAGCCCCTGTAATATTAGATTTTAAACATTAGATTTGGAGCCAAAGCTTGCTTATTTGCTTGCTTGCTTATTTATTTATTTATTTTGATTTCAGAGATGAAGGGGGGGAGAGAGAGAGAGAGAGAGAGAAACATCAATGATGAGAGAGAATCATTGGAGATGAAGGGAGAGAGATTGAGAGAGAGAGAGAGACATCAATGATGAGAGAGAATCATTGATCGGCTATTTCCTGCACGCCCCACACTGGAGACTGAGCCCACAACCCAGGCACATGCAAGACCGTGAATCAACCATGACCTCCTAGTTCACAGATTGACACTCAACCACTGAGCCACACTGGCCAGACCAAAGCTCCCCTTTTAACCAAAGATATTCATTAGCTTGCAGAGCTTTCGTACATGGCATCCATTCTTAAAGCTTCTCAAGGAGGTGCTGGTGGCAGTAACAGATTGTGGTCTAGGGATTTAATCCTACCAGACCTGAGGCCCTGAACCTAACTGTCCCCTATACCTGGGCTCCTGAGCATTAAAGAGGAAAAACCAACATGATACAGAAAAATGTTAGTTACATGCAAACAAGTGGTTAGAATAAGATGGAACTTGGAGACACTGTAGAAAATAGGTCTACCTTTCATCTACCTTTCATCTAGCGCCAATATTCCACCTTTGTGTGGAAATTACCGAAAAATCGGTACAGCTGTCTGGTAGGGTTAAGGATTCTAGATATGACTACCCTTGGATAGATTATTGCATTCAATTTCTTCACACTACACACAACCCGGTTAATTCCATATTAATTCAAAACCTTCCTCTGGGACTATTCTTCCTCCTTTCTCCCAGTATTATATCACTGCCAGCAGTCACCAACAACTTCTACAATGTCATTTCAATCTTAGACGCTTACCTATATATCACTTTACTGCCGTAGGTAAATGCTGATCCATCAAGGGCACCGTTTTCTGGAGCAGCTGGTGCACCGCAGGAAATAGCTGTAAGGACGAAACACAAAAGCATTGCTTTTTTTGGTGAAGGTGTGCAAAGTCTCTGAAAGTTCAAGGACAGCTCTAGGTTTTCTTGTCATGTTTACACATAAGCCTAACAGCTGGGTTTTAGATACTAAGAACATTGACGCAATACAATCCTTGACATTTCTAGCCCGCAGATGTCTAGGATTGCCCAACACCATAAACGTGGGGAATTTACTCAACATACCTTCACAATGTGGTATCAGATGGCTCCATTCTCCAGACTCCGAACACGTGATTTTGTTTGCGCCCATCAGCTGGTATCCTTCCTCACAAGAAAATGTGACTTCGGCACCCACTGTGTAAATCTCACCAGAAGAGTGGCCATTTTCTGGATTTCTTGGAGCCTTACATTTTATTGGTTCTTGAAAGAGAGAAGCAGTTTTGGGGGAACAGTAAGTGGCTTTCACATAACCATCCAAGGTCTCACAGCAAAATAATTCCACTACAGGTTAGGTACCAGTTAGATCCTGAGGAAAAGGCTTTTGAAGGCAGGCACATGAAGGCCAGAGATATGATGAATGATTAGACCAGAAAATATATTTAATAGGAATTTAAACAATATTTTGAAACAGCAAAAAATGTATAAAAATTTATCTGGCCGAATTGGCAGGTATATACTGGGAGGTAGTGGTGGAGCCAGGGCATGGCTTAAGAAGGATTCAATCCCTTTGACTTCCCCTAACCTCATACCCATCATTCCAGAGTAACTGACGTTCTCTCAAGCTCATCCAAAGCACATTTAGGAGAAGTCTCCAGCTTCACTATTCAAACAGACTACAGATGGTGAGCCCCGACCACTTGCAAATTTGGGGTCAGTCACCACTTCTAGGAAGGGAAATAAGTTAAGGGGAGATGTGCGGCTAGCTCTGAGTAACAGAAGTGACTAGAATACTTCAATTCTCCAAAAAGGAAGAGATATTGATTCAGTTTTTCTGAAGAGCACTTAAACGTTAAGGACTTTAAATGAAATGCTCTCAAAAAGTCAATGCAATTATAAGACAGGTTTTGAGAATTATTCTTTATTATTTGCTGGTAATTGCTTTCTCATAATAAATGTAGAAAAATACTGATGGGTGGAGAGATGGGTATTATCAAAGTTATCACAACATATAGAGATGTGGTAAGGCAAGATGTCTATTTTTTTTCAATGGTATTATTCTGTGTGGCTGAGGCAGAGGAAAGATACTGACGACGAAGATGTGATAATGCATCTTTCTTGTTCTGACTGAGGCAGTGGAAGCCATTGGTTATATTTCTAAATTCACTCTATTATTTTCTACTCTGTAGACATTTCTTCAATAGTTGGGTGATACAGCTGGCTCTCAGTTTTGTTGTTCAGAACTTGGGAGGTTGGGAGAGGCACAGTGCTAATTTAAAGCACCTTTAGTTGTTACTTATGTGTTTTTTTAAATTTGGTTTATCTTCCCCATCTCCCCTTTGATGTTGAAAATATTGTCGTATTTTCAAATAACATACATTGGAAATATATACTTGAATAAAAAATTTAAATAAACTTACCAATTACACATATACTAGTTACCTGCACAGTGTTTACCATTTCCCGTGTAGTGAGGGTTACACAAGCAAGTGTAGGACCCATTCGTGTTCAGGCAGGAAGCATATTTGCTACAATCGGATCCAAGTGCACATTCGTCAACATCTAAAACGAAGACAGATCACAAAGAGCAAAGTTAATTTTTCTTATGTATCAAGCATTTGTTTTTATTTTTAAATCATTACATATCACTTAATGTATAACACTATATTCTTTATATATATTTTAAATAAAATCATAACCACATTCAGATATATAATAAAAGCTATTATTTCTTTAGTTTATAGATGGGTAAATAGAAGAACAACAACAAAAAAACCAACAACATAAAGATACTCTTAATATGGAGCCTAGTAAAAATTTAAACTTTTTTGGCACCTCTATGCTCAGCTGCTTTGTCACTGCGGTTGGCCCAGAGCTTACTGGGATGAGATGAAGTTAACAAAGAAATACCATGAGAGAGTCTCAGGGGTTTGGGATGACTGTCTCCTATAGAATTTGACTAAATCAACACAGTAATTGTCAAGATTTATCTCACCAATGCATGATGGTGAAATGCCATTCCAGCTCCCATTATCCGTACAGAACATCCTTGAATCACCCAACAAATAGTAGCCATTGTTGCACTGGTAGGTCACTGTGCTGCCAGCATGGAAGTCCTCGGCTGAATAAAAGCCATTCTCCAAAGAGGGTGGCAATCCACAGCTAATGCCTATAATGTGACCAGGAAGAACACAACCACGTTAGGGACAAATGCGTAAGGGACATTTTATTTATTGACGGGTAGTTGCGTTATGCATGAATTTTTCATTGCCCAGACACATTAGATGGAGAGTGCTCTAGGGGTGGTAGCACAACCATCATTGAAAACCATCTGAAGTCTAGCTGAACAGAAGTTCTATAACAAAAGATATAAAGAAAAACCCACATCAAGACTGGTAGGAGGGGTAGAGAGGCAGAATGGACTGGTCCCACACCCATGTGTGGCGATTAATAATTGGGAGGGATCTCTTGGCTACAGAGGTCCCCCTGAGAAACAAAGGGCCCCAGCCCCACACTAGGCCCCCAGCCCAGAGTTCTAGTGCCAGAAAGAGGTCCCATAACTTCTGGCCATAAAAACCAGGAGGGATTGTGCATGAGTGAGATGGAGGGCTGCCTGAGTCCCAGCCATTTCTCTTAAAGGGCCCACACATGGATCTGCACAGACTCATTACCTCTGAGGCCCAGCCACTATGGCGGTAACTCCAAAAGCACTAGGGACAAACAGGAAGAACTAAATTGTTTGGCTTCAGGGTGAGGGCTGGAGGGGCAGCTTTCTCCCAGACAGAAGTGCTGGCAGAGGCCATTCATTGCTCCTTTGCTGAGACCGCCCCCTGCAGGTGCAGGACTGCACCTTTTCTGAGTCTCCATCAACATAGCTAACGCCTCCCAGGTTTTTCCCTGACAACTCACCCATCTAAATTTTGGGCCCACCTAAGCCACTCCCAATGGCATTTCCAGATAAGAGACCTGTCTTGACTCTTGCTGTGGACTTTCTTAAAATCTCTCAAAGGTCCACAAATCCCATGCAAGCAACACCTGGCCTTGGGGTGCCCTGTACCTCCTGCTAAGGGGCCCGAGCCCCGCACTAGCAGCAGCCAGCCTCAGTTTGCAGCTGGGTGGTCTCTCTGGATCTTCATTGCCCGCCACCCTCCTGGTGCCCAGCACACAGGGTTCATTGCACAAAGGAAGCACTCAATGAATATTTTCTATATTTGCTACTGTAAAGTATCTAGCTTTTACACAGCATTCCTGAAAAGCGTTCTTATGGTTCCAGTATTTTTCAAAAGGCACTAAAATGCCTTCAACAAAGACAGCTCACGTTCACAGTGAGGGAGTGGTTGTGTCCACTGTCCTTGATTCAGACAGTGCTGCACAGGGTTCCCGACCATCTGGAAGCCTGGATCACACGACAGACTGATTCTGGAGCCTGGTTTTAAGTCTACTGATGTAGTCCGCAGATGAGGTATGGCTCCTTCTAAGGGTGGGCAATCTGAGGGCAAACAACACAGATAGAGAGCTTGTCAACAACAGTGGAGCATCGCCAGGTCAAGGTTTTCAAATCGTATGTTATGCCAACATTTGAGAGCTACTCTACTGATATTAAAATCACTGGCAAGCAAAATTACCAGAAAAAAATATTCGAGTCAACAAACAACTTTCCCTTTTTCAGGGGGAAAATATCTATATCTATCTGTCTATCTATATCTATATCTATATCTATATCTATATCTATATCTATATATAGATAAATATATATATATATTTTAAAGAAAATATTTTAGGAATAATTAAAATGTTCTTATAAGTTATGAATGTAGGATATATTTAGAAATTTGTTTAAACACACTGAATTTTAGGGTGCTGTTTTGATCATTCCGAGTTTGACTATCAAATGTGCAGGTTATAACATCCACTGTGCTACCTGCCCCTGGAGGGCTGCTAGCAAGTGCAGAGCCGAGAGAGTGCCCATCTCAAATGGGAGGACAGGACTTCGCTGGGCAGTTAAAAACTGACCATATCCCTCTTCTCATCCGATTTTCCCTATCTTATTCTACCTTTGTCCAAGTTTATTCCACAATTAATTTGTACCCTGTTTACAGAATGTATTTAGTAGTTACATAAAATCCTTTAGATGAAGTTGGGTAAAAATGAACTATGTGTTAACCAATAGACTAAAGGGCACACACTCTTTGACTAACAGAATTTCAAAGTGTCTCCTTTTGCTAGAAACCCAAAGTAGTCAAGAGATAGCAGAGTCTACGGAAGAAGGAAACTCTAACCGGAACAGAATATGCTCTTGGAATCGATCTTCACTTTCCCCACAATTCCCGACAGGAAGTCAGGCCAGGCTAACACATTTCCTTTAGTGAGCTCCTCTGGGCATGAAGTAGCCAATGATTTCACCTGAAGATTTAAAAACACATCTTTAGATAAACCTTCCTTGTTTCCCTGAGACAGAGTTATTATGTCTTAACGTAGTCCTGCTAAAAACATCTGCAGATTTTGGATGGGGTGGGGTGGAGGGAAGCAGGCTTTTGTAAGATATGATTTTGGGGCAACAGGAAAATTCTCTTCCCCACACTCTTCTTCACCTCCATCCTTCCCTTTCCCAAATATTTTATGATTGCTGGAAATTCTGAAATTCTATGCAGAGAATTTGTCTAAAGCTTTGCCATTTGTTACGGTGCTGTAGAGGTCCCCTCTCTCCATTCTCCTGTCTTCTATCTCTAACCTAGAGTTGAAGCAATAAAAGCTTAGACAAGCTCTGCCACTAATAATAAGAGCAAGCATTTATCAAGCCCTTAGTATGTGACAAACAACACCATGATAGTACATGCAGGATTAGGTTAAATCCCAAGCTCCACTATGCCGTTCTGTTTGTTTATCTGCATAGATAAAACACACACACACACACACACACACACCCTAAAGCTTAGAGAGAGGGAGTAACATGTTCAAAATCATCATGGCAAGTTTATGGTAAAACAGGGATTTGAACCCAGGCCACTGGACTGCTTTAACTACTCACTCATCTGTAACTCTCTATGTATAATTTTATGCCACCCCTAAATTCCTACACTTTAAGGAGAGGGGTTTGAAGTATTATCCTCTATGATCTTTTCCAGCTCTGAAATGACAAGGTTTTATAAAATAATTATGTCCAAAACAATTTAAAAACATAACCGAGAAACTGAAAAGGGGATTTATTGAAAGTTATTGTCGATAACCTCTAGCTGGCTTAGTCTATGATCATAGCCTCAAATGATACTGGAGGCGAAGTCTGAAAACCCAGAGGTTGCAATAAGATAGGGCATCATTAGGCTGTTCACATTTTTACTAGTTTTGTACCTTTGTATCTCATTACTGTCATACACTGAAAATGGAATTGACCTGCTGTGGAGACAGGACATAGTCCCAGAGGTTGAGCTGGCTTATGGAGCCCACAAAAGACTCCGCTGGGTTGAATCCCTCTCCTTTTTTGTCTTGCTCTTGCCCAAGAACTAATGCACCGCCACCTAAAGAGAGAAGAGAAAAAAAGGAGGGAAACTGGTCTGATTGTTATTCCTAAAATGCTAACTTAACAAAAGCACAGCCAACATAATGTATTAGGGAAATTATTAAAAAGCTCAGTTATGTACATTTACTGCATGCTTTATCAATAAGGATGAATTCAATATTTTATAAAACAACTTAAAATAAAGTTGTATTTAAATATTAGATTTATAAAAATTTAACTATAAAGCTAATATAGGTACTAGTATACATGTATATGCATATATAATTTTATGTCAACAAAATAGTAAGTCCTATTTGGCCTCCTTTCTCCTAGGCAATTATTCTCCATAGTAGACTATCAGTTGATACTCTTTTTCTTCTGTCTTAAGCCTACAATGCTTACATTTCTTTCACAGATTCCAAGGAATATTCTAAAGTTGCCAGTGGCCACCTAATAGCCAAATCCAATGGAAATTCTTCAATATTCACCTCTGGTGACTTCTCTGTACCATGTTTCTATTGTCCATTTCATTCTATTTAACTGTCTGTCCTTTTGTACTGGGTGGTTTGTGTCTGTGCCTCCAGAGCTAACCTCCACCCTTCCCCCTCTACTTTGTGCTCCCAAAGGCTGACACCTATGGACTGCACCACATTATTTTCTTGTCCCTCTGGCTTCTTTCTGTTCCTGTGGTGCTGGAGGCTAATTCCAGCAGGTCATAAATGCAAGAAGTTCATCAAAAGGTTGATGGAACCTTGAGGCTTCAGCAGGGCTGAAGTACATATTATTGCCTGCTGGAGTAGCTGAAAGCATTTATATTATTGCCTGCTGCCAGACAGCCGAGGGCATTTTCCCAAACCTGAAAATCTACATGTTATTACCTGCTGCTGGCCAAACAGCTGAACAGCAGAAGGCAGTTCCCCCAACCTGATAATCTTACTGTTTACCAAACCTTACCTTTGATATGTATATTTGCTTTGCTATAGGGCAAAATGTGGGAATAAAAGCCTTGGGTCCGGAGATTCAGAGAGAGAACTTGGTTACTATAGCTAAATCTCCTCTGGATCCCCCATGTATTCCAAATTTATATTTCTAGTCTCTTTATTAATTTACACACAGCCCCTTCTCCAGATTCCTGAACCCTTCTAGATGCAGGATAACACCCCAGCACTATGGCAAATGGCAAATGGCAACTGGAAGGACCAGCCCGAGATAAGAAGATGAGATGAGGAAGTTTAATATCCTGGATACTTTCCTCCCAGGCAATGGAGGATAGTGGCTGCCTTCCTCTGTCTGACATCACTACTCCCACTGACTGATTTCTCTCCATCGTTAAAGGTTCGCCTAAATTCTGGCAACAGCTCTCACTCCTTGTCGTTTCAGACCCATCCCTCATGACTTTCCATTGATGCTACTCATGGGGTGTTTTACTCTTATTTTGGTTCTCTTAATCTTGGTCATACTTTTGAAGAGAGTCCCTTCATTCAACTCTTCAGTTAGCCTCCTTGTGTGTGCCACCGGCTCCCTGCCAGGAGCCTTGCTGGTGCCATGTGGTTTCCATGAGAACATCCTCTTCTGGTTCTCCCTGAACCTTTTTGCTCCTTTCTCTGCCTGCCTCTTAGATGCTGATGCTCCTAGGATCCTACCCCCACTTCCTCTCTTCTTCCTTCAACTGCTCTCCCTATCTGAACTCACTCACCTGCCGATCAATGTCTATAGATCCCTCTTTCAAGATTTCCCAACCTACATCTCTTTCTTATAAAATGAATAATTAAAAATTAATACATACACTACCCAGAAATAATCATTTAATACTTTTGTGTATTTCCTTCTAGGTTATATTTTTATTTTAATTAGTTTTTAGTGTGCATGTATGTGATATTTAAAAACACACAACTCAGGATCACAATATACATGATGTTTCAATCTTGTTTTCTTTCTTGAACATGTTCTTGTTTCATGAGTTCTAATAGTTATTTTATATGAATGTACAATAATCTATAATTTGCTTAATTAACTAAACAACCACTTCTAATTGGATACCTTGAGATAAATATATTAGTACATAAATATTTGATTTTTGGTAGTTGAATTGTTGATTGCATGCAAAGCATTTCTCTAAGGCTCTTGATGGAAGTTTCTAAATTGTTTCCCAGAAAGGCTGTATCACAACCTTTATACAATTCAACCATGCTGAATCCTTGCCAATCAGACCTTATCACTAAAAACAACTGTCAATTTGATATAAAGTTGTGTCAACCTATGTTTTTGGTTGCATGTATTCCTGTGATCAAAATTCGAACTCATTATGTCTAAAACCAAATACAGAATCTTCCCCGACTCCAACTCTTGCTCTGATAATTGTGCTTCCCCCTAGAATTCCTATCTTAGCTTACAGACTCTTTAATAAGCTTCTTCATCCAAACTGAAACCAGTCATTCACTGAGCTCTGTTAAATGGGTTCTGCAATATTTACTGACTCCAATTCATTCTTACTGCTGAGATCTGACAACCATCTCCCTGGGTGGATACTATTACAGCTTCCCTCCCCTCCCCATTCCTTTAACCTACTTTTCACTCTTCCATCAGGGTTTAATTTTTTAAGAGATAGAAATGCTGTTTTTAAAATTATAAATGAAATCATTATGAAAATATCAGAAATAAAAGATATCTGCCATCCCACCACCCAGGGAAGAGATAGTTGAAAACAAGAAACCTTCACCCTACTTTACCTGGTAATGCCACTTCCCATTGAAACACTTACAATGTTTCCACATTAATTAAACTGCCAACCATTCCTCCTCATTTGATGCACATCATAGAAAAATCTCTATAGAGCAAGCTTATTGCCTTGTACAATGCTGAGAACCCTGGATCGCCTAATACTTTTGCTTTCCTTCAAACTAAGACTCTTCAAATATTTTTCTAAAAGTGTTTATAGAGGGGAGTTTTGATTTTTAGTGCTCCAGCTTGTGCACTGGATATATTTGTATACTGTGAAGACTGATCATAAAACAAAACAAAACCAACATACAAACAACACCAGAAATTAATCTCCTTGGAAGACACGTTAGTTCAAAATGCTTCTTGATAGTCTTACTAAAGCCCCAAATGTATTTCCTACACAGAGGGTCACAAAGCACACCTAGAAAAAGCTTCTAATAATTTACCGTCTGGATAGTCAGGGGGAAGTAATTAAAAGAGAGACTTATTGATCTTTGTCTAAAACCTAACACAACAAAGCTAGCAAACTCCATGTTCACCTAAGCACCACCACTTTTAGTGATTAACACAATTCTATTTCTTTTGCTAAGACATACCAGGTATGGCCGAACCTACAGAGAGACCCATACCACCATCAGATAATTTCCCATCAATATAGACTTTCCAGGCTCCATCCACACTTGTCCAGGTGATTGCAATATGATGCCAACTGCCGTCATTCACTGAGGGACAATCTGTTATCTTTTCCTTGCCGTTCACATAAAGAACCCAGCTGTGGAAAGATTCCAGGGGACATAGTCATCAGTCATATGTTGTAATCCCACCTGTGGGGCATGCTTCTATTTTTTTCTTCTCTTTCCATGTGGGTAAAGCACTTTGTATAAAACCATTACTTCTTCCCCCGCACCCCCGATTTGGTCATATTTCACAGAAGCAGATTTGATTGACTAATTACGCTTTATTGTAGCTCACTGAATATTTGTGTTTCTTAAACATGGAGGACTAGGAAAAAGTCTTAGGATGAGCTGAGACACATTGGTCCAATTTAACTGACCATCCACTCTGAGAGAGTAAGCCAAGAATGAAAGGAATGCCATCAGTAGATGAGTGGATAAAAAAAAGCTGTGGTACATTTGCACAATGGGTTACTATGCAACTGTAATAAAGAAGGATCTCTTACCCTTTGAGAGACCTGAAGAGTATTATACTAAGTGAAATAAGCCAGTCAGAGAAAGACAAGTGTCACATGATCTCACTCATATGTGGAATCTAATGAACAAAATAAGCTGATGAACAAAATAGATCCAGAGACATGGAAGCATGGAACAGACTGATAAATCTCAGAGGGAAGGTGGGGAGGCAAGAAGAAATTAACCAAAGAACTTATATGCATATATGCATAGCCCATGGACACAGACAATAGTGTGGTGAAGGCTAGGGGGTGGAGGCGAGGTGGAGAGGGTCAATGGGGGGATAAAAAGGAGACATCTGTAATACTTTCAACAATAAAGATATATTTAAAAAAATAAAATGCAAAAATAAAGTGCAAGCAATGAGAGTTGTACAAGCATAGAATGGTTGCCTTCCTCTAGATGTTTGTTCTTAAAATCAGGAACAAACTTTGGAAAATAAGTCTGTTCCTTCATTGCCAAAGCTATCACGTGGCAGACAAAGCATGTGGATCCAAAGAAAATAATAACTAGAATTAAACAAAGGTGACCAACACACGAGGGTTCCAACAACTCCGTCACTTAGGGAAATGTCAAAGATAATAAGCAGTTTAAAGTGAAATATTTTCAAAAGCAAATGGAGAAAAAGAAAAGATTAGGGAAAACTGATAAGAACTCATTACACATCTTTCCCGGCATCTTCTTAGCCTCTATTCCATGATCTTTATGATGAAATAATATTTTTATAATATTGGTTTTCCTCTGGAAAGAGAGTTCAGTGGGTCTTTGAGGCTTGCAACCTTCTCAGTAGCAATAGGCCACAAATTTGGAGGCGTCTGAGAGGAACAGGCCATGCAGTAAACCACAGAATCTATTCAGATGGAAGGTATAAACCTCAGCCTCGCCAAGGATTCCACATGTGGTGAAGAGCAGTGGTTCTGAAGGGACCACAGAGCTGAGGCAATGGACAGCTCAGGGATTAGTAATGTGGGCAGATGACCAATGATGGGAGTCCTGTCCAGGTCTGTGGATTTTATCAAAACTCTGGGTTCTATGAATTAATCTGCAAGAACCCACTCAGTAGTGAGAGAAATAGCTGAGGTTGAGGGGCCTGATAGCCCGACGGGATGGGGCCCTGCAACTGAAATTAATTGATCCAAAAAGGAAAAAGAAATGTCATCTTACACACACGAGTTTGTAGACTGCTTCACACTCAATATGTGTCTCGCACAGGTCAGCAATGTCGCTGATATCCCTTGACCCTTGGAGGCCCTGATATGGACAAGAAGGAGCAAGGCTCTACGAGTCAGAGTCGGAGACTTGGCTTTGCCACTCCCAGAGTGTGAGATTTGAGGCAAACCATTTAGAGTTTTTGGAACTTTGTTTTAATATATGTTAAATGTGCATGAGTTCCTCAGGACATCGTGAAGATCAAATGAAGTACTTAGTAAACAGCAGTACTTAGTAACACAACAAGAAAATGCTTAGTAAGTAGCAAAATACATGTATAAGGTATTATCACGAAAAGTGCCCTCTTACAGAACTTGTCCATATGTTCCCTTTGGTTACTGTCACCCTGCTATCATGCCGAGGCACCTGACTCCCCTGCTCCCCAGGCCCAGTGTGAAGTCTAACTTGGTGCTGGGATAAGACTTCCTGCCATTTCTGCTCACCCATTGTAATCGGTCAGAAGGAAGGTATTGTCGCTGCCATTCTCCAGTGCATAGGAGATTGGCGTTCCGTAGTTGTTGAGGTCAGAGGATTTCATCCAGAATGTGCAGGTTATGGCATGGAGAGATGGAAGCACACCGTCTAGGATGACGTAACCATAGGTACCAGAAACTTCAAAATCCAGGTTAAAGCGTGTAGACTGTTCTGCAACAAATAAGGAAAGTGTGCAGACCATGGTGCTTGCAGGGCGTTTTTCAATGTCTAAAGTAAGCAGCAGGTACACAGGGCTACTGTCATAGCAGCCACTGCAGTAAATAGGATGACCTGAGAAGTGGTGTCAAAATTAAAAATATATTCTTTACAAAATATAAAACACATTCTTTTAAATAAAATAATCGGTGAGTATCTAAGATAGAAAAAATACTCAGTAGTGAAAGGAAACAGAGATATAGGGCGTGGTTGGAAGGAGAGGTAGGACTGGGGAGTTACTAAAGATGAGAGACACTAAAGCATGGCGGGATGCTGTTGGGAATGACCCAGTAGAGTGGAGTAACTGGTGCAGGAGAGGAGGAGAGGCAACTAGCTTAAGGGCACCCATTCCATCCCTACTCAGGGCTCTGGCTCTTCCCTAGTTCATGACCAATTCAGCTCTGCCCCAACCCTACATACCTCACTCAAAACAAAAGTCCTACAGTTAAAAGGCCGAAGTGCCCCGAGCAAGCAGTTTAGCAGTGATTCTCAAACATGTCCATGGCCTGTGACCTCCTTAATCAAGTAGCTTATCAAAGCGTCCCTTCTAAACCTACAGAATGTGAAGAGTTCTACTAAATTCTATTTTCTCATTCCCCCCTTACACCTCTAAGTTTCTATATCTTCGTCTGTGCTATTGCAGATAAGATTACCTAGTTTATTAGATGGCTCTGAAGATTAAATAATTAAACAATGCTTATTATAGTTTTTTTTTCCATATAGGTGGTGCTAGGTGCAGGTAAAAATTGATTCTGTTATATCACTATCTTTAGTATTGTTGTGAATACTACATACATATATACCTGTTTCACACCTGCTGCCTGAAAATCCCGGCTGACATTTACAACTGTATGAGTTTAATTCATCCACACAGGTGGCTTGATTTCTACACGGGTTAGACTGGCATTCATTGATGTTCAGTTCACAGTGCGGCCCTGTGAAGCCAGCTGCGCACTGGCATCTGAAGGAAAACAAAATGTAACGATGAGAACAGCTGCAGAAAGGCAGTAGAGGATGGATGTCTCCCACTTATGATAACGTGTCTCAAGGACTATAACAATCGAAATGCTCCACATCAAACCTTTAACTGCTAGTTACTTTTGCTAGTTCAGCTAATAAACCTAGTTAACACAACATTTATTTGAAATGTTTTAGTAGGAGGTGGTTCTGATCAAGATGAAGTATTATCCACACATTGGGAGTGTCTCTCCCCATAGCTGTTCTAGGAAAAAAAAATATTAAAAGTCCAGTGCTTCTGTATTTGCTTCTTGTGTAATTGTGTTTTCTTTCATCTTTTATGCCTTCCCAAGTACACTGGCAGCCTGTATCCATGGGTTCCACATCTGCAGATTCAGTTTATCATGCATGGAAAGTATTCTACAAAAAATTATTATGTGTAGCTGACATGTACTATGCAGTTAGGCGTCCGACGGTTGATGGTTGCGTCTGTACTGAACATGCACAGACTGTTTTCTTGTCATTATTCCCTAGACAATACAGTATAACAACTATTTCCATAGTATTTCCATTGTAATGGGTATTGTAAATAATCTAGAGACCATTTAAAGTATATGGGAGGGTGTATGTAGATTATATGCAAATACTAGGCCATTTTATATAAGGGACTTGAGCATCCCTGGGAGTCCTGGAACCAGTTCCCCATGGCTATGGAGGGATGACTATATAAAACAGCAGTTCCCAAATGCAGCTGAGCACGACAATGATTGGGAAATTTAAATCATATAGTTTGCCTATTTTAAAATTATATACTCTATGCCAGACTTAGTGAATCAGAACCGCAGGTGGTGGGGGGACTCTACTGTAGCCTATTCTTGGGGTAGAATTTGGGAATGGCTGACCTGGGACTCAAGATAATGCTCTATAAAGACTACAGAATGACTGAACAATTAAGTAAAGAAAAATAGTAGAAAGAACCAGACTTAGTCTTGTACCTGAAGCTATTGACACCATCTTGACAAGTAGCTCCATTTTTGCATGGTTGACTGAGACACTCATCCATGTTTTTTTCACACCGGGTACCCCCAAATCCAGCTGGGCATTTGCACAAGAACCTCCCAACCTGATCTTCACAGACTGCATTATTTAAGCATGGGCTTGACTGGCATTCATTGACGTCTGTTTCACAGTGCAGGCCTGGGGATGGTGAGGAGAAAGAGCCCAGTGTTAATCCCTTGGGAGGACTGTGATCCAAATGCTGACTTGGAAGATGCTGCTTGTAAAGGCAGGCTGCAGAGCCACTGCCTATCAAGCTGGTTTGAGATCCATTCTTTAATGAGCTCCGGTTTTTCTAAGTCATTTAGGACTGCGCTTTTGATAATCTACTCTTTTTACCTTATGTCTTTCTGAAACTAACATTAGTAGTAGACATCTACTTGAGAGAATGTTAAAAAGTAAAACTAGCCTGGCTGGTGTGGCTCAGTGGTTAAGTGTCAATCTATGAAACAGGAGGTCATGGTTTGATTTCCGATCGGGGCATATGCCCAGGTTTTGGGCTCCATCCCTAGTAGGGGGTGTGCAGGAGGCAGCCAATCAATGCTTCTCTTTAATCGTCGATGTTTCTATCTCTCTTTCCCTCTCCCTTCCTCTCTGAAATAAATAAAAATATATTTTTAAAAATAGTAAGCTATTTTTTAATAATGTTAAAAAGTAAAACTAGCACATTTAGTTAAAAAATGTCCTCTGTTTCTTTTACGTTGCCTCTTTTCTTCATTGTCCATTTTTTTTGGACTTCCTCTTTATCAATTATATATTTAACCATATTATTTAGCATCCATTTCAATATTAATCTTCTATACTTTATCTCCAGTTCCTTCTTGAATACTTGTCTTACCATATAAACTCTTATCTTCTCTCTCTCTTTCTCTGTCTATGTCTCTTTCTTTACAAATACACAAAGACATTATTTTTTTCTTAACCGTTTAGGAGTAAATTGCAGATGTGATACCATTTTATCTCTAAATGCCTCAGTTAGAAATTTCTCAAAAAATAAGGGCTTTCATGGCAAAAAAGGGACTTTCTCTTATATAATCACGACACCTTTATAAAATCAGAAAATTAACATAGACTGTATAACGTTAGTAAATGTAATAATCTGTGGTGCTTTATAGGACTTTAAGACAATGCAGGAAGAATGGGAACATCCTACCTATGAATCCTTTCGCACATGTGCAGCGATAGCCAGCCACACCATCCACACAGACGCCTTTGTTTAGACAGGGACTGGAGCTGCACTCATTTATGTTTTCTTCGCATAGTGGACCTGCAAAGAATCATAAAATATCTGAGCTGGAGAAGTTAAGACTAATACTTTCCAAGTGAGTTGTTCAGGAATAAAGAACAATTGGAAATCATGGCTACTGTGTTTGTAAAAAAAATTTGCTCTTTGCCAAATACATTGAAATAAAACATGTTCTTCTATTGTGTGAACTGCAAAACTTTACTTTGCAAGAAAACTGATATTTTCAGGATGCAATGGAAAATGACAACCATGAATATCTAGCTATTTTTAGTTAAGTAGATAAATGTCACTTTGTTTTAAACTTTTTTTTATCATATTGTTAGTTGTTCACTCTTTTTTGAGTTTATCCCTTGAATATTTAAGATAATTTATTTATCTACTAGTTGCAGGTTTATACCCTTAAATAACACAGACTGAATACTCCCACCCACCACCCCTACCAAACACCATTCCACTCTGTTTCTATGAGTTTGGCTTTTTTTCTTTCTTTCTTAATTAAGATTTTATTGGTTGTTTTGAGGGTAAGTACACAGACATTTCAATTTATACACAATTCTTAATATATGTACCCCAAACCTAAAGTTGTATAGTTGTGATTATTTTCTACACAGTTAGCCCAGTGACTTTCCAGCTTCAAATTTGGAGGCTAATTTTCCTTAATAGAATATCAAGTACCAATATCTTCAAATGTTGATATGCTGTTACATCAAAGTCCCATTAATTCACAATTTAATATCAGATATACATAATCAAATTTTCAACCTTTCACAGCACACTAACAATGTTACTAGGGAAACTGGACTATCACACCAAAGATGTTGCAGAAAATTCTGATGGGGAGAGCCTAGGTCACAGGTGGTTTATTTAGGAAGCAATTCTATCAAAAGCATGAGAATGGAAGTAGTTAAAATGTTAAAGACAAGTGAAGTGCTCAACTAATCTCAAATTGCCATTGAAACTGATATGTATTAAGGATAAAAAAACTACCCCCATCAACGGAAGGTTAAGCTGATGTCCAAGACAACCAAAGCTCCCATGTCCAATATCCCACTGTTTTCTGGTTGTACAAAAAAATCCAATAAACAACCAGCAAATTATTTCCCCTCTCACAAAACAGCATTTACACGTCAAAAAATGGGATGAAGTGGAATTCCCTTCTAAAAAAGGTTTCTAGAGCGACTACAAAACTGGTTTCCGAAACAGTTGATGAAAATATTCCTGTGAATTATACAACAAGGGGGACAGGGACTACTGATGAGACATGGTGCATGACATTAATCAGACTTGGCTTCTTCCTCTCCTGCTTTATCCGAGGCTGGACTCCCTTGGTTTTTGCTTCTCCGTTTTCAGCAGGTAGATCTTCAGGCTCCTGGTTAGCCACTTCGGCCTGCTTTCCCCTTGCTCCCCTTTTCCCTTTGTACTTTTTTGTCTTTATCGTTCTTGCTGCTTTTTCTGGCCTCACTTCCACTTTTGCAGGAGCAGGTTTAGCTGACAACCTTCCTGATCTCCTTTTGGGCTCCTCCTTCGCTGCCCCTTGGCAATGGAGCTGACCTTCCCCTTGGGCATCCTGGCAGCAGGGCAGGTGTATGCCCAGTGCCTGCGGGCTGCTTGGCATTGAGAGCCTTTCAGAACCCAAGTGGCCTGGCTGTTGCCATTTCTCCCACTGTCCAGGCTGCTTGGATCCGCCATGGGGGCGGTGGGAGAACAGATTGAATTTGGCTTTTTAAGATTCCATAGAAGTGAGGTCATAGGTCTTTCTCTGTCTAACTTATCTCACTTAGATAGTGCCCACAAAGATGTATCTATATCTACCACATTTACTTTATCCCTCCATCCCTTGATATACACTTCTGTTGTTTCCATATTTTGGCTATTGTGAACCATGCTACAGTGAACACAGGGCTGCAGACAGCTCTTTGGCATAGTTACTTTCCTTGGATAGACACCCGGAAGTGAAATTACTGGATCATATGGTAGTTCTACTTTTAACTTTTTGAGGACTCTCCATACTGTGTTCTGTAATGGCTGTGGCTTTAACAATTTGCATTCCCACCAACAGCGCATGAGAGTTTCCTTTTCTTCATATCCTGCCAACACTGTTACCTATCTTTTGATAAAATATGGGGCGCAGCTACAGTGTTTTGGCCAGGTTCAAGCCTTGGACTAATGAAAGGACAGGGTCCTCTCATTGCCACGTGCAAGTTCTAGCTGGAGGGCAGGGCCCTCCCAGCACAATTATAGCCAACAGCTATAGTTGTAAGCTTGAACCTATGGTCCGAATACGTGGCCCCACGTGCCTTGTGCTAGAGTTCAGGTGCATGTAGTTGAGTCGGGTTGGAACTCACGAGAATGCTGTAAACAACGTGATCACGCCCCTACTTTGCCTCGTGGCATCTGCTATAAAATAAAGACAGGGCTTGTGGGCTCCGGTGCTGTCTCCTCATCAGGGAGCAGCGTCCCACCAAGACCCAGCTTTCATTCTCTTGCCTGTCTTTTCTCAATCCTCCCCCCCAGCCCCCCACTCAGGGTCACTGAACCAGGCTGAGCTGGCATGGCACATAAGGCGCCCTGGGGCTGAGTATGCCATGGCCGTGCCGGTGCCCCACAATAAAAGCCATTCTAACAGGTGTGACGTGATGTCTCATTATGGTTTTGATTTTCAGCAACGAAATGTCAATGATTCCAAGGTTTAATGTGAAAATAAAAAACTCTCCCCTTACCTGTGTAACCAGATGGACATTCACAAATGAATTCCCCTACTTGGTCTTTACAAGTTCCATTGTTGAGGCATGGCAGTGAGCTGCATTCGTCAATGTCTGTTTCACACTTGGAGCCTAAAATGCAAACCAAACACGGAAGGACAATCAGAGGAAGTAAGAAAAGTAGAGTCATGATCATTAAAAGGTATTTATCCCCATAATCTGAATTTATGGAGAGTGGTGGTGGAAAAGAAAAGGCCAGTACTCATTAAGTGTTACCATCTAGGTTAAGTATTTAATAAAGGTACTGCCTCTTTCTAAACAGATTGAAGATATCCTTATAAGGATATATAAAAGATAGCAAACTATCTCAAGTTAGAAGTACTGGGAGGGGAGGGAAACCTAAACTCATAAAATGGAGCCAGGAAGTTGGTTAATTCTAAAGTGGAAAATATAAAGTCAATGCCCTGAATGGTTTGGCTCAGTGGATAGAGCGTCAGCCTGTGGACTCAAGGGTCCCAGGTTCGATTCCGGTCAAGGGCATATACCTTGGTTGCGGGCACATCCCCGGTGGGGAGTGTGCAGAAGGAAGCTGATCGATGTTTCTCTCTCATTGATGTTTCTAACTCTCTATCCCTCTCCCTTCCTCTCTGCAAAAAACCAATAAAATATATTAAAAAAGAAAAAAGAAAATATAGTCAAATATACCTGCTACCAGGTCACTTGGCTGAAGGGTAGAGGTGGAGCTAAATCCTACCAGAACTCAACTCACATGCCAGGTGCCCGAGTGGTACTGCATCTTCCTACAGAATGCAAATAGGCAATCTATGGGCTAGCTCTGCTGGAAACCCTGTCTTCGTCTCTACCAGAGGGTCTCAAAGTGTGGCCCCTGGATCAATAGCATCAGCATAACCTGGAACTTGGTAGAAATGCAAATTCTGAGACCTTCCCCAGAACTACTGAATCAGAGATTCTGGGGTAGTAGTCCAGCAATCTGTTTTCTCAAGCCCTCCAGATGGTTCTGATACACATCAATATTTGAGAACCACTGTCCTATAGTATGACCTTTCTCAACCATTACTCATCTATACAATTCTAGGGACAGATCCATTATTTCTTATAAAATGTCAGGAAAAATTTTTAAATAAAAATCGAAACAGGCACACACAAGCAAGCTATGGTAAGTAGAATGCCAATATTCTTGATAGCCTTGGACTATATTTGTTTTCCAACTTTCCTTTTGTTTATTTTGTGGTGAACTCTTTTATTTAGATATTGTTCTCATTAAAAAGGTTTCATGTTGGTTGGACAAAATTCAGAAAGATGCAAAAACTTAATTTCTAGAAGAAAACATGGTTTTAAATAAATGGCAACTGTAAGGTATTATTTCCCACCAAAAATGATGTTTCAGGACTGAGCCAGAAAGTGAACCAAATTGCAAGAAAACATAATTCTTACATAATTCACATGATTCCTACATAATCAAGTCCAAAGCCATGTTGTTTTTCTAAGCACAACTTCCAGAAAGATAGAAACAAAGCAATAAACCAAAGCTATTCACAAGAACGTCCACTAGTGTGAAGCAAATGAGGGAAACTGAAGTTTGTTTAAAATGTTCATGCTAGACAATTTGCTCTGTGTTGAGTATCATGCATTTTGTGTTAGAATGAAACCTCGGACACGGCCCCTAGGACTGTATTCCAATTTAAATTGTAAGATATAATTAGATTTTTTCATCGAAAATATAATTCTTTATTCTTCTTCCAAAATGTGCAAAGAAAATTGTCATTTGTAAGATATGTATATGTTTTTTCACCTATTAGTTTATCTTATTTAAGTTTTTATGCATTGATACGACCTACTGTATCTTACAGGGTTTATTTTTAATGTTCCAAAGTTTGATACTGCAAGTCACAATCATTTCATATTATGAAAAACACATTGAAATTTGCATTCCTTTATTTACCTGTATATCCAGGTGAACAGAGGCAGACATAACCATGCCCAAGTTGTTGGCAGGTTCCACTATTGTGGCAGGGGTTTAAGAAGCATTCGTGGAAAACCTGCCCTTGACAGAAAAGAAATCCATCAGAGACAAAACACTCTATTCATTTCAAAGAGATCCTGACTAGGGAGTTAGAAGGTTTGCAACATCAGACAGCTGGTGAGTTCAGGTGAGTTAACTCAAGCTAAATGGTCTGCATATATGTTAGTGATGTTCTGGTAAACCCAAACAATGTTTCTAAATGCTGGCTGCACATTAGCATCCATTGAGGTATTTAAAAAGTATACTGAGGATAGTGCCCCAATCCAAACCGGATAAATCAGGATCTCTGGGAGTGGGATCTGTGCATCATTATTTTTAAAAGTTGACCAGTGGATTCTAATATGTCTCTAGGGTTGATGGTTACAGCTCTAGAAGTCCTTACAAAATCGGTGTTCACTAAGCTTAGCTTCAAATATGATTTATGAAGCCCTTACAAATCAGTATGTTTGGATGCGGCTGTAGGAAGTTGAAATAAGACATAAAACCTTATTATCCTCCTTAAAAATACTTAGAGCCAAGGAAATTATCATAACATTAGGCAGGGTTAATTCAGAGTAATGGTTGAACAATTAATTTAGTTATGTTCATGAATTATGCTTCTAAATTTTTTTAAGCCCAGGCCATACTCCAACAAATGATTTTTTTGCAGACAAAAGATTTTAAGTAATTTTCATGAAAGTTCACTAACTCTTACTGCAAATTAGAAAAGGCCTTTGGCTAATCCAAATGCCCTTACTCAAATGATAGGTTATGCTTATGGTAAGTTAATTATTAGTGAGCCAAAAGGCTCCCCATATATATACATTCTCTATACTAAAAATTTCTTGGAAAAAAATTCAATGTTTGGCACTTGGTACTTCTGATACTAAATTTTTGGAAAGTTCTTATCAGAAGTCACAAGTAAATACAATTAGTCCTGGATAATATTTATGAGTCTCTATTACTTAAAGTTTTAACTCTGATAATTTTCCTCTGTGGGGCATGTATAATGACAAATTGTTTTTCAAACATCCCACTAGGGAAAATTTTATACATAGAAAATGGACTTGCCTGACTGCCAACTTCATACTTCTTTTTGATATGTCCCGGAGAAGTTTGGGGCACTATACTTTCCTCTGCTGCTGAGAAAGTAGAACCAAAACCTGATGAAATTAATAGGAAAACATTAGGGAAACATATTGTGTGGTAGATCTTGCCAATATATAGACTCTATTTAAGTACTATGGTCAAGATTCTAGTTCTTGCTTGGTTGGCATGGCTAGTGGTTGAGCATTGACCTATGAACCAGGAGGTCACCGTTCGATTCCCAGTCAGGGCACATGCCTGAGTTGTGGGCTCGATCCCCAATATGGGTTATGAAGGAGGTAGCTGATCAATGATTCTCTCTCATCATTGATGTTTCTATCTCTCTCTCCCTCTCCCTTTCTCTCTGAAATAAAAATATATTTAAAAAAAGATTCAGGTTCTCAGAATAGACAAAGCCACATACATTTTGTTTTAGTAATATTAAAAAAGAAAACACAGAGATGGATGGGATATGTCATTAAATTCTAGATCAGTGATGGCGAACCTTTTGAGCTCTGCGTGTCAGCATTTTGAAAAACCCTAACTTAACTCTAATGCTGTGTCACATATAGAAATGTTTTGATATTTGCAACCATAGTAAAACAAAGACTTATATTTTTGATATTTATTTTATATATTTAAATGCCATTTAACAAAGAAAAATCAACCAAAAAAATGAGTTCGTGTGTCACCTCTGACACGCGTTTCATCGGTTCGCCATCACTGTTCTAGACCCTTAGAAAGAAATTGGAAGTTATCAAAATTCCAAAATTAAGAATCTTTGAGTCACTGTCATAAAAAAGACATCAAAAGGACAATTTAACAAGTCTAGACACCAAAATCCACTGAAAATGCCAATATTCAGAACTGAAGCTATCACAGAGACAAGCAAAAATCTCTGACAAAGGATTATGTGGAAATAAAATAGAGGAACTTACTGGAGCAATCTGTGATGGATGTGGCACCAGCGAAGGTTGTAGTTCCGTAAAAGGGACAAGCCAAGCAGAAGGACTTTCCTGCATCGGGTTGGTAGTAGTCTTGAGGACAAGGATGACAGGGCATTAACCCAGAGCGAGAGAATTCTCCTAGTGGACAAGGTACTGTAAAGGTAGAAACAAGCCATTTGTGCAGTGAAGTAACGCTGCCTACATTGAAAAGAAATGCATTAACCTTTGGTTGTAAGAAAGCCACTGAATTGCTAATACATTTTCTTGTGTTTATTTACTGCCCAGACCATTCTATCACCCAGATAAATGTTTTGTTTTTCCTTCCTGTCTTTAACAATATACTAGGGAGTTATTGTATTTATGTCAATCTGCTCTGTGTTGAATGTTATTAACTCAATAATAACTCAATTAGAACTGGCCATACAGTATTATATTCTGATTTTTCTATTTTACATTATGTCATAAGCATTTCCCAAATCATTCTCCAAATTATTAAATAACAGGGTTTTGAATAAATGAAAAAGATTACATACCATTGACAGACCATCACTGATCTAACATTTCATCTACTATTGGACATTTAAGTTGATTCTATTTGGTTGCTATTATAAATAATGCTGACGTGAAATTTTCTATTCCCATTCTGAGTCTCCTTTTAACTTTCTCCTAGAGGATGAGGGGAAGAAGTGTTGTCCTCCTGTCCCTTCTCCTAAGGGACCATGTGTACACACACCACCACCTAAAAAATCATATGTGGGGGGGCTTATCCTTCAGCTAAAAATCATTTAAAAAAATGAAAAAATTCAGACTGTTGTAATCACAGACCCAATAATATTTACTAGCCTAAGAAATGATAAAAAATGAAATGCATAAAGCAAGTAATATTACTTTAACATAGTAATATACTGAAATATAATTGCTATATTGGTGAAAGATATTGTAAGTTCAGTATACTAAAGAATGCAGGAAGTAATATCTTAGAAAAAACTGTACAACGTGCCCATAAAATAAATCAATCAAGAAAGCAAGCAAATAAAGAAAAAGGAAAGAATAAAAAAAGGAAGGGAGGAAGACAGAAAGAAAAGAGAATGTATTGAAAAATAGAAAATATATATGGGACCGTTTTATAACTCCTACAAATTTAATTTTAAAGTAAAATGGTATTTATCCAGCACCACAGGAGAGAGTGTTGAGTTCTGTCATTTCCAACAGAATGTGGTTAAACTTGTGCTAGGAATATTAGGAGAAATAGGCCAGTTACCAGAAGTTTGGAGACTTTCTGGAAATTATAATTGCTTAATTGCAATAATTTGGTATTAGACAAACCTCAAGGCTTATTTGGAAAGCTAAAGGAAAAAAAAAGTTGTCAAATGCGAACTTGTTTCACTGTAAAAATCCTAGTTGCTTTTGTGGTTAGAGAAAGGGAGAAAGGGAGAGAGAATTTTTTTACTGCAGACTTTCTCCCCAAACTAGTTTGTATACTGACAAAATAAGAGTCTCTATTAGATCTGTTTCAACCATAACATGAAGCCTTATTTGACTTTTATTAAGATAAAAAAAATCCAAAGCTGGTATTACACAACAGACATGGTTTATGAGTTTCAATTAGATCCTAGTTAAATTCTCAACTCTTCAGTGAAACATTAAATTGATGAACACTATTTGCCCCATTCCTCAGGTCTAACAGACTCATCCATAGTGATCCTACTAGACTGAGATAATTTTAACAGATGGAGCATATAAAAACCTACGATATGTTTTTCCTGTAGAACTCAACTTATGAGGACCGTATCTCCCAAGATGCAATGCTGGATACTTCCTTGGCCACTACTACACTCAAAGATCCTCATAACCTAAGCAGTTGCTGTCTAGGAGTCTCGGTCTCTAATTAAATGCAGATGTATGTATATATGACTAGCATGCAACGAGGGTGGAAGGTGTGTGTGTGTAGGTATCACTTGAGAGAAATGGGAAACCAGCAAATTGGCTTCTTAAAAATATCACCTATTTAATAAGGGAACAGCTTTTTAATTTTTAGATTGCCATAGACTGTAGGTTTTTAAATAAGGATGTAGAGAATGAGGAGAATAAACAATTGTTTTAAAAGTCATTTTTACAACTTTTTAAAAAGGCATGCTTGTTTTGTTCTGATGTACCAGAGGGAGGCCAAAACCTTTTTTATTTTTAATCCAGTTCCATTGATTTTGCAAAGTAGTTGCAGTTTTTGGAATTTCTGGACATAGGCTGACCTTAACTTCATTTCTAGTTTTCACAGTCATCCTAAATTTTCATCTTTTATCTCTGTTTTTGTCTTCCAGTTTTTACACTGCTAGAAATCTGTACTCGATATGGATGTTAGAACTATTTGAAAATTGGAATTCCAATCTTTTTATTTATATTTAAACCAGTGGCTCTCAACATGCTCTCCCTGGACCAAATAGAATCAGTTTCACTGCAGAACCAGTTAGAAATGCAGGCTCACACCAGACCCGCTGAATTAGAAACTGCCTTAACAAGCCCTCCACGCTAATATCTGAAAATCAAAATTAGTGTTGTACTCAACTTTTCCTGTTGTTTTAGAATCACCTGGGGAAACTTGAAAAGAAGAGAAGAGAAGAGAAGAGAAGAGAAGAGAAGAGAAGAGAAGAGAAGAGAAGAGAAGAGAAGAGAAGAGAAGAGGAAGAGAAGAAGAAAAAGAAAAGAAAATCAGACAAATTAAATCAGAATGTCTGGGGTTAGAGACTGGACTTCAGTATTTTTAAAATATGGATGTAAATGTGCAGATATTATTTTTTTGTGTGCGTAACTAGAGTGGATAACTGCTCATGAAATCTTTCCCATTGCAGGGAATGAATAGCCATAACTCATAAAATGTATTTTTAGAGTTTCAAGGAACATTGGACAGGACTTCATTTTATAAATGAGGAAACAGTTCCTCGCTGAGATGTATTTCTACCATCTCAGGAAGCCACACGTTTGTCACTGTTGAGTTTAGGGTCAAGTCTCTTATTTCTTTGCATTCCTAACAGCACTAGCACAATGCTTATACCGCGGGTGTTTATAGTTCATATTGGCTGGCTGGATAAAAGGGATAGTTATTTACATTCTTTGCATACAGTAGACATTTGGTTTTGCATGGAACCTAGTAGGTTTGAAGAAATATCAATGTCTAAGGCTTTGATAACCTCCACAAGCAGAAATGTCCACGGCTCCTCTCTTCACAGTCGAAGTGTTTCTTGGACATGAGAGGCAGCTCCGGGCTCCAACGGCTGGCTGGTAACTGCCCAGTGGACACGATTCACAAGTCTCAAGCCCATTTGATGAGTAGGTGCCTTGTTTACAAAGAGCTACAAAGGAAAAAGTAATATGGTTAATACCAATGATATTAAGCTGTAAAAAACTAGCACTGTGTAGGACAGGTTTTTCTGCATTTTAATCTATTGAGGACAGAATGAAGGACAGGAACTTCAGGCATACAAAATGTATTTTAGTCTTCCTCATGCTTCTGTATACTAGTAAGTTTTAACTCATTTCCAGTTACTTCCGGTATTACCCAGCACAGTGTTTGACACGCAGAAATTGTCAGTAAGTAGTTTTTGAGTGAAGTTCAAAATCTGTATTTCAGAAAGTCACTATTATGAGAACAAGTTAGCATGGGGGAACCTGTTCTTGTACAAGTTCTCAGCTTGTCCACTGTTCTCTTGAGTGACAGAAACAAAACCCCAAATTGGGCTAGAGCCTCATAACTAAGCTGGCACCTTTGTCGCTCTAGTTAAGAGCTGGCCCTCCCACCTCCTACCTACAGACACTATTTCATTGGAGGGCTAGAAGAGTGGAAAGTAGAAAATAGTCTTAGCACCAGGCCCAGAGAGGTTAAGCAACATTCTAAAATTCATCACAGTGGTTTTGTAGTAGAGGAGTCAGGGTTAGACTCCCTGACTCCAGGTGCTGTCCTTTCCCTTTGCCCCTGTCCTCCACATGACTCTCACTCTCAGGACTGCTAGCGTGTTTCGTGTACATCCAGTCACCCAGCGCTGCTCTGGAGTTTATATTTGCCAGTGTATATCCACACCTGCACTTGTAAGAACTACAAAGAGGCCCAATTTTCAAACTCCTTCTTTTAGGTGTGTCTTACTATAACTTCAATTATGAAACAAAATGTCTCTTTAAAAATGTTCACTGATAATAACAGTAAATATTTTGAAAATATTGAATATCTTATTTAGTAGCAAGAATATATGCATATGTATCTGTAGTTATGAATTTCCAAGTAAATTGGAGAATGGATCCCATCAAGTCAAATGCTTTTCGAACAAGAAAAGCAACCTAATGATTTGTTAAGTATTATCAAAGTCCTTCCTGCCAATTAAAATGATATTCAATAAAAAAATCCAGGGTAGCTGATGAATGGGGATTGAAATTATTGACTTAGAGTGTAGTTTAACTTACAGCAACAGAATGTTCCAAAAGAAAAGATAAATAGACTCCTTTAAAGTATGGGAAACATTTAGGTAATCCTACATAATAAAAGCCTAATATCCTAAGTGTCCGACCATTCGACCGTTCAACCAGTCACTATGATGCACATTGGCCACCAGGGGGCAGATGCTCTGACCAATAGGTTAGCTTGCTGCTGGGGTCCGGCCAATTGGGACTGGTCAAGATGGTCGGACATGCCCTGGAGCCCTCCCACGGTCCCTTTCGGGCCCCAGTCATGCACTGGTGGGGTCCTTTGGCCTGGCCTGTGCCTCTCGCAATCTGGAACCCTTCAGGGGATGTCGGAGAGCAGATTTTGGTCTGATCCCCGCAGGCTAGGCTGAGGGACCCCCACCGGTGCATGAATCCATGCACTGGGCCTCTAGTATTTTATAATTAAGAGAAAGAAAAATTAAAGCAATGGCTTTCAGTGATGCTCTTATTTCATCCTATTTGCCATTTAGATTCCATAACTGGAGATAAAATTCAGGCTTCTTCTGTTCAAAATGTGCATGTAGCCTCTACCTTTACATTCCAAGATGTTTCTTGAATGGAGATATTCAGTGTTAGTCCCAGTTGGACAGAGTTTGCACTCAAGTTGTCCTTCTTCATCTTGATACGATCCCATCAAGCAGCTTTCACAGGCATACCGATTCACAGAATAATAGGTTCCCACAGGGCATTTGACTGAAGATTAAAGCAAACAGAAAACACTGAATATAGTAGAAAACAGCATGGGTGGGTTAAGTAGACCCTTGCCTCTGACTGCCAGAATTACTGCCAATGGAAGGAAAGTCTGAGGCATCCTCAGAGCCATGACCCCAAGGAAAAAGGCCAATTTTAGGACCTTCCTTCCTGGAAGATTTGATTTACTATTTGCCAGGCTTGGAGTGATTCTGAATTTCTGAGACCAAGTAGAACATTAACCTCACTGAAAGGCTCCTAGTAAAGGTAGTATTCTTATAGGGAGGACACCTGAAACTAGTACCTAGGTGATTCTGAGGTGTTAAAGTGTGTAAGAATATCCTGGGAACTTAGTAAAAATGCAGATTCTAAGGACCTGCTCCCAAAGATCCAGAGGCATTAGTTCTGTGATGGAGCCCGAGTCACAATGCATTTCAACAAGTATTGCAGGTGATGCTGATACAGGTCATCTGAAGATCTTATCGAGAAATGTGGAACGCTGCTCATGGCAATTCCTGATTTTTACTCACAAGGTGGGGCCGGGTTGGGGGTCAGGGGGGAGAGCAGGCTCAGAATGACAATTTTAATGTGGTTTTGTTGGGCCAAACTGATCTCACTATGAAAAACCCAACCGAGTTCTGGGAATAGCACTAAGAACTGTTGAGGAAGGTTTTCCAAGATCCCTCAACTGCTGAGAGATTAACAGAAGACTCATGTCATTTGATTCAGTTGAGTTTAAGGAGATTGGTTAGAGGAGATTCCACTATCTATAGATGGTGACTTATTTAGAAAACAGGCTGGAATTGATTCAGATTGTGGTAGTCTAGAATAAGGGTTAAAAGTTAATGGATTGGGGGAAGGAGAATGGGGAGTGACTGCTTAATGGGTGCAGGATCTCTTTTAGGGGTAATGAAAATGTTTGGAAATTATGAGAGAGGTGATGGTTCAGCAACATTGTCAATGTACCACTGAGCTGTACACTTTAAACTGGTTAATTTTGTGCCATGTGCATTTGCGTTGGCTGCCCGAGTGGGAATCTTAGTGACACCACCTATTGTTTTAATGGGTTTAGACTTACTGGGCAGGTTCTTAGCCTCCCTGGCTTCAGTTTTCTCAACTGTAAAGTGTGCTTAATCATAATGGCACCTCACAGAGCTGCTAAATAGCATTAAACATGAGAGGTTTAATCCTGTTCAGCCAGCACAGAGAAATGGTAAAAAACTATTAGTTATTATTATTGGAGCTGGTGCTGAAAGCTTTGAGGTCTAAAGATCTATGGATAAAACTGATATTTGAGTTCCTCATTAAAATATTTTCCTTGTCCTAATCAATAGTGGTTAGTTAGACCTTTGAAACAAAATAGTAACAACAACTTCACAATAATAGCAAAACATATGTTTCACTTCAATATCCCATTATAGTTGTAAACTGCTCTTATCATTTAACCCAATATACACCAAATATTTTTGATTGCAGGGGAAAGTCTTACCACACATGCGCCCTCTGAGCACTGAGCCTGGTCTGCAGAAGAGGAAAGCCTTTTCCGTTTCTAAGGAATTGCTATCGGCTACGAGTATTTCAGATGCCAGCTGGAAGGAATACATGGGCTCCTTATCAAGGGTCATTTTCAAGTGATTGGTGATAGTTTCCAATGTGTTAATGAGTCGTCGCTGATTTTGGAATTCAATAGTGTCATTTCTTTCATCAGGTAAAGGCACACTAGCTGAGATAAAAACAACACAGAATAAAACATACACACACATGGTGTTTCAGGAAGCCGTTTGTAGTTAGTTTTTAATGGCATATTAAAAATCTTCCAGGAAAAGAAACTCAAACTCTACCACTACCTATAAAGCAACTAGTACATGGATAATATTAAGAACAATACAATTTGTTTTAATCCTTCATTCCCATTCTGGATCCGAATCACCTTTGTGCAGAGCTCTTCATTACAGCATATTAAATTCCTACAAGCTCTTGCTTTTTAAAGCATGCCTTTGTTCATCATGCCAAGTTGAGAACAAAGCAGGGTGTTTGTTGCTGTCAGAATCATGACATACATCTGTGACATTAATTTGCAAAAAAATCACAAGACTTAGGTGACCATGCTCTCCCTAATTTTCAGTTCTAGGATCATTTCCTGATAATAACAAATGGAAGCTTTGAAAAATAGGTCTGCCACTTGCCCTGGCCAGTGTGGCTCAGTTGGTTGGAGAATTGTCTTATACATCGAAAGGTCACAGGTTGGATTCCTGATCAGGGCACATACCCAGGTTTTGGGTTATTGATTCAATCCCTGGTCGGCAACCAATTGATGTCTGTCTGTCTCTGTCTGTCTGTCTGTCTCTCTCTCTCTCTCTCTCGCTCTCTCTCTCTCTCACATCTCCCCTCCTCGCTCTCTAAAATCAATAAAAACATATCCTAGGGCGAAGATTAAAAAAAGATTAGGTCTGCAACCAAGAATTTCACATAATATTATTTTTTCAAATGGACAGTTTGTCCTTACCTGTGATGTTAAAAGTTAACTTAACTTTGTGGTCAGTTAATGGGGCACTTCTTTTAGTCCGTGAAGATCTAGCTTTGCCAGCACCTGCGGGTGTTTCTTGCACAGAGTCCAAGAAGTCGTCATAAGAGTAATCTAGCCGATTAGCTGCACCCCAACCACCTGGTCCTGGGTATTTGGGGCAGAAAAACAAATGATTTCTATAGTTGCGTCTTTATCAGCATTTTAGTTCAAAGGTTAAGTCACAAGTCCAATGACCCTTGACCTCTGCTTAAATTACCCATATTCGGTAATCTGTGAGTATGCTTTTGTACTTACACATTTGCCAACTTGGTTATCAGGATTCTTATTTGACTCTGTTAATCTGACAGGTCAGAAGTGGCATCTCATTTTAGTTTTAATTTGAATTACATGATTATTTTGAGGTTAAACCATTTTAATATATTTATGGGCCCTTTGTCTTTCATATATTATGATTTGTGAAGGTGTTGTTATAAATACTACACTTGTGACTATTGTAAAGACAGACATTCAAGGAGGAAAGCTTGTCTCTTAGGATCACTTGTACCTCTGCCTATGTTCGAATCTAGAAAACTGCCAGTTGGATCCCTCTTGGATGACAAATATCTCCCATCTTAAAGCTGACTCCCTCCGTGTATATCCTTGTACCTCACAACCTACCTCAACAATCTGGGAGGGGAAACCTGGTCACGTGTGACAGAATAGGCATTGTCATTCTACGTGTGCCACTGCCAACTCCACTACCAATGCCTCTTTATACTTTTCTATCTAAAACTTTAATGTCCAATATGCTCACTGAGAACTGTACATATAGTTAAAAATGAAAAACAACCCAAAGTCTGCCAACAGGAAATTATTTACATAAATTATAACAAATTGATTGATAAAATTATATGTAGACATTTAAATTATATTGAAGCATAATATTTAATGACATAAAAATGTCCTCAATATAATGTCAACTAAAAAATTTGTGTTTATAACATAGAATGGGGATATATACACATACACATATGGTTATCAATATTAATATATGAATAGAATTATTTCTGGGATTGTGGATTATCTTGATTTCATTCTTTGTTTCTTAGCATTTTCATTTTTTTGCAATAAAAATATATGCACAAATAATATTTTTTAAATGTAAAAAGTGTAACCAATAGTCAACACCACTCTTAATGCTAAATTACTAATAACATTACAAATATGATTAGCATCTGAAATAAAAAGGAGTCTACTGTATGTGAATTAATACTGTCTCAAGTAACTTTCTAAGCACTCCACTTGAACTTACTCATTTAATCTTTTTACAATGGCCCTATGAGTTCAGTACTCCTATATCCCCATTTTATAGGTGAGGAGACTGAGGCACAGAATAGTTTGATAAATTGCTCAAGACCACACAGCTAGTAGGTGGTAGAGCCAGGTTCTGGATCCAAGTAGTAGACCATAAAGTCCATGTACTTAAATTGCCCATGACACTATTTTGTTATCACTTTGTGAAAACATTACTCTGGAAGTTCTGGACAGTTTTATGAAAATGAAATAAAAAAAGAAAAAGTATTAGAGAGGACAATGATTTTGCTAATCAAGAGACACACCAAAAAATCACAAGTTATACTTTGGAATTACATTGATGAAAGTTATTTGTCAATTATATCTCAATAAAAAAAATGAGAGGAACAAACTGTTCAGAGCCCACATAAAGAAAACATCAAAAAATCCACTTGATGGTTTATTAGACTTGAATGGATTGAATCTTAACATATTCTGGGTGAGGAATCTGAACATTTCACAAGTGTAACTATTTAAAATTAAATTTGCAATTTAAATTGAATGCCGTATGAAAAATGCTGTTAGAACTCTGTAACTATTATCCTCTTCTGAGGCACCATCATCAATATTTGAATGTGACTTGGTTTTCTTAGTTTTTATCATCTTGAAGAGTTTTGGCTAAGAGTTTGGAATAATTTATTTGATACCTAAAATTTAATCTATCCCTAAAGATCACGAAGCACAGTAGCACATTATCCAAGCAATTAAGAATATCTTGCATAAATTAATTAAAGTTCATTTTTCTAGTTTGCCCTACTCTTCTGAAATTATTTTCTTATTTTGCAAATCTGTCTTGCAAACTACCAACACTACATCATTCAATTACCAATCGCAAAGCCATTTTCGTAGTCATAGTTATATTCCAGGCAGTATTTTTTGGTCAGGTCCTCCAGTCTGCAGTCAATGTCGTCAGCGTCACTACAGAATGATGGCACCTGCAATAAAAAATGAAGAGGACAAAAAGCAAGTCACGTCTCCGCATGCTTTGGCCTTCGCATCTCTGTCAGTAGGAGGGAGGGGACTTTGAGTTCCACCTGTTCTCCCGAAGACTCTTGACCCTCCTGTAACTCCCAGTGATCCACCAGGGTTATTCTCCCGCCTCTTCTGTTTACATCACTTTTTAAAAAATTCAAAACTTTTAAATACAGATTTACTTATAATTCACTGCAGAAGTGCAGATCCTATGAATAATTCTAAATATTAAGAACAACTTTGGCTCACAAAGCAGAGGCAAATCATTAGGACAAGACATTTCTGTTGCCGATGACCCAGAGAGGCTCTGAAAAGCTCAACAGCGTCCTTTGAAATATTGCAAACGATGGAGGAGGACTTCTGACATACCATTTTCCCCAGGGTCGTCTCAAATGCTTCTGAAAACTTTTTCAGCAGGTCTGTGTCATCACAACGAGTTGCTTTGTACAGCATCTCAAAGGACTTGAACCCATGATTTGCAAAACGTTTTACTGGAAAATGTTGGGGAAAACAGCTTCAGTTGGTTAGTGTTTTCAAAACAGAGATTTAACTATCCCTGGAATAACTGTAACTTAGTATTGTAACTTTCACATAATTTGTGGATTGTTATAAAAATAAGAGACAAGCGTTCAGGAAAGTTTTTAGGCATTAATTAATCACTGAAAACCAAGTACAAGCCAAATAAGCACTGTACTTAGTTACCAGGTGATGAATTTGCTTTAATAAGTTATTCTTTACCTTCCTACCATTTAAGGAAAAACAATAAATAAAAATTATTTTCATTATATTCCTGGGAAAAATCATGGCTGGATCAAAGATATTCTATTCCATATTTATTTAAATTTACAACATATATGTTTATATTTTCAACCAGTAGACATTTAAAATTTTTCTGAATGTTATGCAAAATTACCTTTGTTGACAGTGTAATTTCAGAGACAAAGTTGTCTTTGGAGAAATTAGACTCAGCAAGATGTCTCAAAATATTCTAAGCTAAGGCCTCCTAATAGCATCACCATTAAAATCCTACCTTCTGATAGTCTATGGTAGAGGTAAGTGATACTGCTTCTACTTACTTCTCAAATTTGGGGAAAAAAAAACAGCTCAATTAAGTAGCTTTTACTCTTTTTCCAGGACATTTAAACTCCATCTATGGTACTGGATCAAATATTCACTCCAGATAATGTTATTTACACCAAAGATATTCGGTTGGCTGTTTTTATAACAATACATATTTAAGATTATCTAAATCTATATCAGAGCTAAGGAATGTACAACTGATCTCCCTCACTCCATCACAGATGCTGGCTCTTTAAATGTTATCTCTTCCACAGTCTATAAGATTATACTTCACGTTCAATTTCACAAGTCAAGAACAACATGCTGACAAATCTCTGCTGACATATTTCTGGTAAATAACAAGGAGAGGGTCCATATGGTTTTGCCTTAAACTGAATCTTGTCCTGTAGCAGTACTCTGGTGGGGTAATATTTTAAATGGATGGATGAAAGAACATTTATCCACAAACATGTCAAATTCATGGCACTATTTTCTACTCACAAAACCTAATCCCTAAAATTAAGACAATCTTCCTCTTTAAATGCATAGAAATCTACACAATCAGCTAACAGACACACATACTAAAGGAATCCAGAAAAATAATTAACACTTACTAGCACAGTCTGGCCATTCAGTGGAATACGGTGGTTTCCAGATACCATCTTCATAAGCACAATAATACTTCTCCATAGACCCTTCTGTGAAATCATAGCCCTCCAGGCAACTTAATGTGCAGTTAACTCCAGCACTATCTTGAGTACATATGAAATCCCCATTTACAGGGGTAAATGGAATTTCACAGGGAGAACCTGTATAAAAAATATATTATTCATATACAGTGATATAAGAAAAATAAATCAAATCCCAGGAGTCTGAGTTGAATTATTAGAAAGATTCCTCCTGCCCACCATATTCCTAGAATGACTTTCATCACAAAGCCTTAGCGTGGGATTGTAGCAATGCTTGCTTTTTCTTTTTTTAAAAAATACATTTTTATTGATTTCAGAGAGGAAGGGAGAGGGAGAGAGAGATAGAAACATCAAAAATGAGAGAATCATTGATCGGCTGCCTCCTGCATGCCCCCCACTGGGGATCGAACTGGCAATCCGGGCATGTGCCCTGACCAAAATCAAATGCCTTAATTTAATGGCATTCTGGTTCATAGGTCGGCGCTCAACCACTGATCCACGCTGGCTTAGCACAACGCATGCCTCTTAATTCCTAGGTGGACACAATTGAGAAGCTGTATCTACATGTAATTAAAGGTTGTGCATATTTTACGAAAAGTATTTCTGATTTGGGAATGTTATTTTTGGCATTCTTTAGTAAAATGAAAATGACATTATGCAGCAAATACATTTTTAGAATCTGTTTCCTCAAGCATTCAAAATAAGATCATAATAATACTTTGTACCTTTAGAGAAAATGTTAATAAAATGTTAAAGATCACCTGGAAGAAATATTTTTATTTATCATGAAGTGAAATAATAATAATTAGAAACCTAAATAAAATCTGTCAGTATTCTAACTTTAAAAATCTGCTGCTCATAGCCCGGCTGGTGTGAGCATCAACCCATGAACCAAGAGGTCCCTGATTCAATTCCCAGTCAGGGTACGTGCCCGGGTTGCAGGTTTGATCCCCGGTGGGAGGTGGGGGGAGTGCAGGATGCAGATAATCAATGTCTCTCTCTAATTTATGTTTCTATCTCTCTATCCTTCTCCCTTCCACTCTCTCTAAAAATCAATAAAAACATATATTTTTTTATAAAAACATATTTTTAAAAAATCTATTGCTCATAGCCTATTTTGTCTCACAACAGCAATTATACATATCAAATGTCACCTAGATTTCTGGAGACTTAGGAACAGCATACCTTTCAGGACAATGTGAATGTCACATGTTCTTTTATTGCCTGAGGGGTCAGTGGCTGTATACCGCACCACAGTCTCTCCTTGAGGGAAGAGGTCTCCTGGGGTATGACTTCTGGTGATGACCAACACGGCCCCTGGAAAGGAAAGAAAGAATCCGATTTTGGGGTTACTGGTCTGCACTCACTTGCCTAGCCACCTTATTTTACTTTTCAGTTTCTGATTTTTAGAGAGAGTGGAAGGGAGAGGGATAGAGAGATTGAATCAGCTGGGCATTCAATTTATGTTGATTTGACCACTAGTAGAAAATAAAAGATGTAATATCCATATTATAACATAGAAACAGCAGACTCAAAGACCTCATTAAATTAAGGCATTCTTGCTTAATGAATGATTTTCCTTGAATAGATCAGTCTATCTGAATATGGGAAATTCTAATTTGCATTTATAATATTGTTTATTAGATTTTACTGAAATCTTAAAAGGGAAATTTAATTCTACTTGGCCATTTTTCGGCTTTCATATGATCTTCTATAATTTTTTTGTCAAATGTTTAAGAAATGAGTATAAATACATAGAATCCCACTAAAAATAACAATACAACAAGTAGTTTGTGCCTTCAGGACAAAGTAAGCTTAGAGACTGAGCAAATTTATTAGATTCCCCTCCAAGTATAACATCTAGCACAGGTTAATAAATGTCCACTGTATATTAAAGGAAGGGGAAACCCCATGGGTAGGTTAGATTAATCACGTTAAATTATATATATGGCATGGAGGGGGTTGGGGGTTAATGGGGGGATGAGGACACATTTGTAATACATTTACCAATAAAGAAATTAAAAAAAAATTATATATATGGGGGGGCAAAAGTAGATTTACAGTTGCATGGTGACCTTTTGAGCTAATAAAGCTGTTGTAATAATCATAACCTGCATGTATGTTTCCACACAAACAACTGTAAACCTACTTTTGCCAACATGTGTAATTGTCCTAGCATTAAAACATATTACCTTATATAATTATTCAGTCCACTTAGATATAACTTACTTTTCATTTTTCTTTTGTGTTTTCTGAAAGCTTTTAAAAATAAAGTATGTCAGTGTTACCGTACTGAGAACAAAATGCCTATATTCTCACCGGAGTTGTCTGAGAACTGAGGCTCATCCCAGGTTGCAGGATGCTGCTTCTCGGAGACCTGGATGGGAGGTGGGGATCTGCACCTGTCTATGCTAGGTGGTTCCACATCTAAAAAACATGAAATCAGAGAAAGAAGTCACAGTTGGTATTAAAAAATGATGAGGGGGGTTGCCAGAGAGAACTGATGTCTGCTTGTCTTGGCAAAGAACCCTGACCTTGTTAAACACAAGGTTGACCGTGGAGCCCCCTTCCTCATGAGACATGTTTTATCCCTGGTCTCAACATTAAAAGAAAAAGCTGATTCTTGCATATTGCCCTCTGCCTGCTGAAGAAGAAATTCCAGGTTACTAAAATCACCGTGAGCACAGTGGTATGAAAGGTAATAAGGATGTGGTGGGCATTTAATTTGTGTGTTCCACCAGTAATAGTTAAGCTGATATACCTGACAGTGATAAGAACCTTCCCAGATAAGTAGGAGAGAAATGACCAATCTTAGTCACTGTCCTAGGATCACTCCCAGGATCCTCCTCTTATCAGAAGGGGCAAGATAGGCTAAATGTAAGGAACAATGGGTAGAAAGATCTGAGTCATGTTTCAGAATATGCAAGGTGTGAGGATTTGATATTGCTGAAATGCAAGGAAATTATGTCCAAAGCTGGGACACTGGAGTCTAAGGCTGATAAATTCTAGGTAAAGACAAATAACAGGGTGTGGTGTGGACATGGAAGTAAGGTGCTACAGTGGAGAGGGGTGAAAGCCACAGTAGAAGTTTGAGAACTATGAATAGGTGTTGCTGAACACTGTAATCCACATTGAAATAGTAGTTTGAGGTGGCCTGGGTGAGCCAGGTTTCAAAGCTCTGATAAGATGTGGTAGAATTTTTAGGATATCAGTAAAGAACAACAAAGAAGGTGCATAGAAGGTAATTTTAATTTTACACATTCGAAATGTACTTATATCCATAATCACATGTCTTTGAGAGAGACTGTTACAGGTATCAAGTCTAGGGTATTTTTATTTATAATATATGAAAACACATACTCTAAAATTAAATGAGCTGCACCTGTGAGAACATATAGATATCTGTTTTAAGTTACGTCTTATGAATAAATGTTCAATTTTTCTCTTTTCTTCATGCTTGTCATTTCATCAGTGCTGTACCTTTGGGTTACTACCCTCCTGGGCTGTAAACTTTGTTAATCAGAGATGGAGTCTCTTTTGCACATGGTTAGGTATCCACAGAACTTGGTCCATAATAGGTGCTCAGAACACATTGTTGAATGAAGGAAAGAGTAAAGGAATGCTCATAGGAGGTCAGTGCACTTTGAGGTTCCTGAATCAAGTCAGTTCATAGTTCAGCTGAAAAATCTGGCAGCAATTATTATTCTCCCAAAGAAACTGCACATTGATATTTACAAGATCTTCTAAAATAGCCACCCACACATTTTAAAGTTGAATCAGAGGTACAAGATGCTCGCAGTCAGACTAGTAAAATACTGTCAAAAGAAGGGGAGGTACAGCAGACGCACTGTATCAAAAGAGAGAGACAACTTCCCAAGCAAGTGAGGCAACTGTGGAATATCAAGCAAAAGCAATCCTGCTTCCTCTCTTTTATCAGTAAGACACCAACACCCTGTCAACTGAGGTAAACAAGGAAATGCAGGCTTTGGAATATTTTCTCTCTGATTCTGTCTCTCTGTCTTTCTCCCCTAGCCTCCCGCTCCTCTCTCTTTCTCAACCCCTTTCTTTCTCCTGCTCCCTCTACCTTACCATTTTCTCTCTCTCTAATTTGAAAATTCAGCTAGTATCTAGCTAGACACTTGAGTACACATTTTACCTTTCAACATGCTGACTCTTTGTTGTGAAAAATTAAAACTTCACAAATTCTTGAACCACAAATCCAACGTATTTTCCATGTTTCTGCTAAAGTTCATGTTGAAAACATTGAAAAAGCAATTAAAAAAACACTACTATAAAATGAATTAGACTGAGTTTTACTTGAGTCTTTTTATCTCTTTTGCCAAAAACTTATAATTCCGAGGGTAAAAAGCCAGTTTGATAGACATTAGTTATTTTTCAAGAACTTATGTAGAATTCTTAAAATAAAATGAGTTTAATGTACTGAGCTTTAAAATAAACGCATTAAAATATATCAGACAAATGTCACAAAATGTCAATATTTATATAACAATTAATGTATCAGGCACTAGTTCAAGGGACTTATATAACTTAAAAACTTCACTATGTCCCTATGAGGTAATATATTTATTAGTTCTATTTTTTGGATAAGGAAATTGAGGCACAGAGATGTGACTGGTCACATTGCCTTTAAGTGGTAAAGCTGGATATGGAGTCAAACAGTTTGGGTTCAGAGTCCGTGGTCTTGACCATTGTAGATGGCTATATATCCTACTTCTCCATGTAGTAAGTCTTGGTATTTGGTAGCTATTGAATATCTACCAAATTGACTGAAAGCACAATGACCAATTGGGTAATGAAACAGTAAACCAGGCCAAAAATAAAAATTAAAAAGGACTGATCTATAGTAGTGGTTGGGAGAATGTAAGAGACTGGGAGAGATTTCAAAGATATTAAGTAGATGAAACCAGTAGATGAAAACTTATTGGGTGTTGGTGATGGAGGAAGAAGAGCCTAGATGACTTCTACATGTCTGCTTGGTGGCCAGGTTGTTGGTTGTACCATTTTCTGAGTTGAGAAATATATTATGTTTGGGTGAATATGAATTGCCTGTGGGACATCCACATGTGACATCCACAGTAGGCAGTTTTATACAGTGATTTGAATTTCAGAAAAGAGACCTGATCTGGAGATGGAAATCTGGAAGTTGTCAGTTAACAAAGTCACCAGGAAAACGATAAAGAGAAAGACAAGAGAACCAAGGCTGGAATCCTGGGGATATTAAACATTTGAGAGTTGTTCTGAGGAAGAGAAGCCCAGGAAAGCAATAAAGAAGGGTAAATGAGAAAACCTGGGGAAAAACAGGAAATACTGGTGTCAGAGAAGCTGGGAAGGAGACAGTTTTGATAAGGAGAGTATGGTTCATAATATAAAATCTAATGAAACATTATGTAAAATAAGGACTAAAAAGTACATGGTAGGAATGACTTTAGAGATCATTGGTGACCTTGATGAGAGTAGTTTATATGAGTGAAGGAGACTGAAGCCAGACTTGAGTGACTTTGAGAATAAATGGCAGTTAAGTCAAAAGAGATGACAACCATTGGGAACTTTTGAAAAGGCTTGGATGGGAGGAAATCAAAGGGAAACAGTGATAGTTAGAGTATGTATGTTTCAAAAGGGTGGCTTGAGCAGGTTTTAATGCCAGTAGGAAGAATGGACAGAAAGGGAGTTGTTGAAGACAAAGAAGCAGAGTCCTAGAGGAACTGGATTATTTTCACAAACTGACCCAAGTAATTTGAAGACTTACCTATGACCTTGATATGGAAAGTGCAGCTGGCTTGGTTGCTGGATAGGTCAATTGCCGTGTACGTGATAGCAACCTCTCCAATTGGGAAGAGGTAAGGTGGGGTAAAAGCTGGATGGACATGGATTGACAGCTTTTGGAGATAATATTTTGAAATTTAAAGTTAGTATCAATAGTACATTTATTCTTTGTTATTTATATACTATTTGTAAAGTTTAAGATGACACAATATTTCACATATAGTGAAAAGGAAAAAAACAGGCACAGTCTTTTGGTGTATTTCTTTCCAGACTATTCTATTTGCATAGTGTGTAGCATTGGCATAATATGAAATGTTGTTTCTTGTTTTTTAAACATATCTTAAAACACCTTTTATGCTGTTGCCCAGTCTTTAGAACTTAATATGACTTAATTGTTGCCATAATGTTCTGTAGAATAAATATATGATAATTTAAGAAAAATCTACTGAAAGACACTTAAATTGCTCCTGAATTTTACTACTGTAAACAGCACTGGGATGAACAGTTTTGCATAAAGAATTTAAAAATATTTTTATTATGTCCTTATAATAAATTTCCATGGATGGAATTACTAACCTCAAAGTTATTAATATTTAATGTAGCTACTACAAAATTTATTTCCCAAAGCATAGTACTAATTTGCATTCTCACGGCCAATATTTGATAGTATCAATGTGTATATGTATACAGAGAGCATGCTGTCATTAGAGTATTAGTAAATGTTCAATATCACACATATTTATAGTGTATTTAGAGTCTATTTGAAAAGGATGCACATGTTTGCATAAACCTTACCTTTTCCCCAGAGTTGTCTTTAGCTGTTGGGATCTGCCAGGTGATATTAGCAGAGTCTTGCTGTTCCTGCGTCTTAGCCTCTATATCCGGAGGACAGTTGATTTGAGGAGACTCCACATCTGACTCAGAAAATACACAAATCAATTAATATGTTAAGTAAGTCTACGTCATTTAAGAATTAGGTAAGAATATATTAATACTTTGTGTCTCGTCATTTCCATATTGATTCCTGATTGCACAACTGCTTTCAGGATAACTGATCTCAGCACAGCTTCCTAGGACCTTCAAGAGCTAGTACCTGCTGACCTCAACCTCGCCTTTATAGATTCCCTACTGGAACTCACTCTCCACGATAAATACTTTCAGTCCCATGAAAGCCCCATGGTCTTTTTGGAACCTTTGCCTATGTTCTTTTATTTACCTGAATCAATACCCCCTTCTCCCTTTACCTAGGTAACTACTACTTGTCCTTTAATTCTCAGCTTGGACACAAGCTCCTCAGAAAGCTCTCTCTGACTCCCCTGGCCCATTTTAGGTGCTCACTCAAGTTCCCACAACTCTCCATCCTTCTTAACCACAAAAATCATCATGCCAGTTTGAAGTAGAATTGTCTCCCCCCCAAAAATTTAAGGTGTTTGAATGCCAGGGTATCTCTTATCCCATTGTGCTATATATACCTGGCATAGAATAGGACCTTGATAAATATTTTTTTTGAATGAATAAAGAAATAAACAGAAAAATGAATGTTGACTGGCAGGAAGGAACTACACTTTAAAACAAGGGCTGTCAAGTAGGATGAATTAGTAGTGCGAAAAGGTACTGTCAAAACAAACAACAAATTACAGTCAATGAAATTTTTTTGCAGTGTGAAACTTTGTAGTACAAACACTGAATTAGAAGTGGTAACATTACACATATCCATATTAGTTATTGTAGAACTAAGTTCTTATTATATATATAATAAATCTCCTCATTTGAAGTTACATTAAATTAGGTCTTCTGTAACTTGCAGTGGAATACTAGTATATATATCTAAATTGATTTAATTCATCTTCTTGTTTCTTTGAAATTTTTATTCAATTTATATTTTCTCTGATAATTGTTTGACAATTTCCCCTCACAAATATATATTAGCATATTGCCTCTGAAAATTTGAAAAAGTATTTGACTATTCGTTCATACCTGAATAACAGTTTGACTGCTTTTGGAATTTAAAGTTTACAGCCATTTCTCTCTCCGTATTCGTTGGACATTGCTACATTTCCTTCTGGCACTTAGAGTTCTAAAAGAGAAGTGAGTCTGATTCTTGTTTCTTATGCTCAATTTCTCTTCTCACTGGAAACTTATTTAATACTAGAGGCCCGGTACACAAAAATTTGTGCACTCGGGGGGGAGAGGGGGTCCCTCAGCCCGGCCTGTGCCCTCTCGCAGTCTGGGACCCCTCAGGAGATAATGACCTGCTGGCTTAGGCCTGCTCCCGGGTGGCAGAGGGCAGGCCCAATCCCTAGGTGCAGCCCCTGGTTGGGCTCAGAGCAGGGCCAATTGGGGAGTTGGGGCGCCGCCCCCTGTCATGCACAGTGCAGGGCGGATGGGGAGGTTGCGATACCACCCCCTGTCACACTCAAGGCAGGGTCGATAGGGAAGTTGCGGTGCCACCCCCTGTCACGCACAGAGCAGGGCCGATCAGGGGGTTGGGGCGCGGCCCCCTGTCACTCACAGAGCA